CAGAATTGTTCTTTTTCTCTTCATCAGTCCAAATAACTAACCAGAAGTTAGATCCAATAAGTAAGAATGATGAAATAAAGAAGAATACCATAACAAAAGTAAAGTAAACCCAGCCACCATATTTTATATAAGTTAACATAGTTCCAAAACCAGCATAAGTTTGTGTATTTTCTTTAGCTATTAATTGAGATGCTTTCATTCCTTTTTTAACCTTTCTTTTTAAAATTCGTTTTCCATGTTCATCACCATGAGATACATTAGCAACATAATTAGAATATAACCTAGTAAATTCACTGTTTTGACTTGCTTTTAATTCTTCAAAAGTACCTTTTTCAATGAAAGTTCCATTTTTCATAACATAAATGTAATCACATTCTGGTAAATATTGGAAAGTTTGAGTAATTAAAATACGTGTTTTCTCTGAAAGTACTCCTTTAATACAATTGTTGAAAATATTTTGTCCAACATTAGCGTCAACAGCACTTAAACAATCATCTAATAAATAAATATCTGCATTTTGATAAGTAGCACGTGCTAATGCTAATCTTTGTTTTTGTCCTCCTGATAAATTAGATCCACCAATACCAACTTCCATTTGATCAGCACCAGGGAAATTTTCTAAATCATTTCTTAATTCACAAGCAGCAACAACTTTTTCATATAAATCATTGTCATGTTTCTTTCCAAATACTACGTTGTCATGAACAGTAAGATTTTGGACCCATGCATTTTGAGCAACATATCCAATTTTTCCATTATAAAGTGCCATACCATTTGTTTTATGTAAATTACCTAATAATGATTTAAAGAATGCAGTTTTACCACATCCAACTTCTCCAATAATTCCAATAAGTTGTCCTTTTTGAGCAGTAAAGTTAATATCTGAAAGTGCAATTGAATCATTATCTTCCCATGTATAACTAGCATGTTCTACTGCAATAACAGGTGAGTCTGGTGAAGCAGGTTCTACTGCAACAATGACATTATCAGCATCTCTATCTTTTTGGTCTTCACCTTTTAATAAAAATTCTTGAATTCTTCTCATAGAAGTAACACCTTGCATAGTATCATTTAATAATTTAGGGAATCTAATAAGAGGAAGTCTCATAATATTAAATAATCCGAGAGTAATAAATGCGTCCATTGGTTTAAGTGCTCCAGAATCACCTCCTGCAATTATAGTAATAATACCATATGTAACAAAACTGACTGAAGGTGGAATAGCCCAAACAATAAAATTCATACAACTTCTGAATGCAATAACAAACAAAATATGTTTGACTTCTTTCTTTCTTGTTTCGTGTAACTGTCCATGAAGATGAGATTCCCATACCATTACTTTAACTGTTTTAATTGCATTTAATACTTCTGTTAATAATTTGACACGAGTATCTTTAATGATCATTAATTTTCTCATCTGTCTTACAATAAATCTAGCTAATACAACATTAGCGAAAACAGCAAGGAACATAATAACTAATCCAGCAAATGCAGACCATTGAACTACACAGAATAACCAGACAATAGATATGATAACTTCTAATGAGCATGACCATAATAAATGAACTTGAGAACACATGTCATTAACACAATTTGCATCAACTGACATCATATTAAGAATTTGACCATGTGGAGTAGTAGAAAGTGACTTAGCATTCATTGAAAATATTCTTTCATACATAGCCATAATAAGCGTTGATCTCATTTTTTGTCCAACTAATGTAGTAATATAATTAAAGTAATGTCCAGATACAGATGAAATTATAGCAACAATAGTAACTATTACACCAAATAACATTCCTGCACTTCTACTATATCTCCAATCTAATTCTTCAGAACCAGCAGATTCAAAAACAGTTGTAGAATATGAAGATCCGTCTTGATATGAATGCCATTTAGATCCCATCCTAATCATAATAGTTTGAGCAACAATTGGAATAAACATAGTAATATCAAAAATAAGTCTAGGAATGATAGCTATTAACATTGCTTTTCCATTTAATCTAAACATAACTCTTAATAATTTAGGTTTTGCTTTTTCTTTTGCTTTTTCCCAAGCAACTTCAAATTGTCTAACAAGATAATTAGATCTATTTTTTATATCTAATTGATCAATATCTGAAACATCCATTGTCATTCCTTTTTGATATCCTCTTTTAAATCCTAAAATTTCTTTAATATTAGAGAATGTAATAAAATCAATAAAATGTTTTATTTTTTCAAAGAAACTTCTTTGTGGTTTAGCACGAGAATCTACAGGTTGGTTATTTCTTAATAATCCTAAAGTATCATTTTGATATGATTGACTAACTGATGTATTAGACATTGGAGTAAAATGAATTGATGACCCATAAATATCTCCACCATTATCTTCTTCTTGACTATTAGATCTATCAGCATCTCTTTCTTCTTTATTTGAAGAAACAACTCTTTTATATTCAGGATTAATAAATCTATTGTCTTGTTTAAATAACATTGAGAATGAAAGAATTAAAGAGGCTACTACTTCAATCCAATAAAGAATAATAAATAGAATATTTATTAAATTAATAAATGTTCTGTGTGAATCTGATGAAGTAACAGTTCCAATGAATAATAAATGAATAAACATTTGTCCTAAAATAAATATTTGAACAAATGTTCCAAAAAATACTGATCTTTGTCTTTCAAAGTAAAAATCAATCATTACAATTAACCAATCAATACAAAGAAGGAAATTTGGAATAATTAAATAATAAGCAATTCCTTCTTCTGGATCATAATATTTAATATCTGTTTGTTTATAAATAGTTGAATTCATTAATCCATAACATAAGGGAATAACTGCTCGTGCCAAACAAATCATAAATATTACTAACATTGGAACAATTCGAAAAATAAACAACCAGCTAATTGTTTGTGGTGCTGTTGTTTTTGGCATGAAAATTACTTTAATTAATCGATAGAACAATGGTCCAAATAATAATAATGTAAACAATGTCATGGCAAAGCCAGATAAGTACAGTGTCAATTCTTCATGTTCTTCATCAAAGAATTCTGGTGCTTTGTTGTCTGTAAACCATTGGAAAAATGCACTATCTGAGACAGCCATTTATTATATATTTTTCTAAGATATTATTTTTTAGTTTATAGTCTAAAGTATTCAATCTCTAAATCTATAATTATCTATTTTATCCTTTTCTTTTCGCTTCATTACCAATTCCTCTTTTTTTATTTGATATTATCTTCTCGTGGTAACATTCTTTCTCTCTTTTGTTACTTCTCTCAAGGGTTCATCTTAAAAAATTTTTCTGAACTAATCGACTTTTCCTTGTTATTTTTAGTTATTATCTTTTAAAATTATTTTTTTTCATATTTTTATAATTATTCTATAAAAAAAGAATACTAACAGTATACGAAGATATTCTAAATTTTTGCTACCTCAATATAACACAACGCAATCTTTTCTACGAACCAATCAAAATCTACTTTTCCTCCATAAGACGGGAACACATTAACATCAACAACTAAAGGGATCCCTTGTTCATTTTCCTTAATAAAATCAATCCCACATAACTGAACACCTAACGCACAACGAACTTTATAAGCTAAATCACACATCTCAGCTTCAGTTGTCAAATTTAACAAGATTGGATCGTCTAAAATTTTACTACCAAAACGATTAGCTGAGTTTTCAATAAGACTTTGTTTATCTATTACCCCTTCAGGCCAACTAAGTATATCTTCTAAATGTTGGTTATTAAAATCAACAGATTTTACTCCACATCGATGAACATTCGGTAAAGATGTTCTTGTTTGCCATTTGAGAGTATTCCCAATACAAAATACTTTTACAATTTTATTGTTATGATTTATATAGTCTTGACATAAACAAGGATATTGAATGTCATCTATCCCTTCTTGTTCCAATACAATCTTCATTTGGTGAGCATTAAAAGTGCCTTGTGCATTTTCTGGTTTAACAATAAAAGGAAGAGTAAGTTGTTTTGATTGAAGTAATTGAATTACCTCTTCTTTTGATTTAACGTTAAATGAATTAGGAATAGGGATATTATTTTTAATTAAGAGTGCATTAATTTCTTCTCTGCTATTCATCATATCATGAATTGCACTACTTTCTAAGAATAAAACTTTTGGATGATCTTTTTCATACTTTCTCATTTCATCTGCCATTTTACCTACTGGGTGCGTTCTTTTAGTGATAATAGCATCAGGCTCTTTGTCAGGTAATTCAGTGGATAGGGTGATATTAAAGACTATATTATTTAATTCAATTTGAGTATAGTCTTTTGTAGAAATAAATAATGTTTTTTGTTTTGATTCAGGAAGCCATATAACTAAAGAAACAGTTTGTTTTGTTGTCATGGAAAGATATAAAGAAATAATAAGATAAAATTAAAAATTTATTTAATAAAAAAAAGAAATCAATTACAATTTACCTATGATTAGGTTTTCATCATGTTGAGAAGTGAGTAAATCAGTTTCTACAACACGTTTTATTTCTATTGAAATAATATTTTTTTCAATCACGCCTAAATTAAATGGCTTATTGTTTAAATTGTTGCATGGTTTTTATTTGAATTTAATGAATATTAAAATTCTTCTTTGTTTATAACTATTTTAAGAAGAACATATCCATAACACTATAACCCATCTCCTTTGTCCTTAACAATCACTTAAAAAATCCCTTTTTCTTGATAACGTTCAGGGCATTCAGTACCAAACTACTATTAATAAATATACTTGCATGTTGGTAAATGGTAATATTTCCATCATAATAAATGATTCATTGAGAATCATTTATGATAAATATTAATAAATAACAACCAACTAGTCTTGAATGGGGGCACCACGTTACCCAAGGTAAGTCGCAACCACACAATAACTGTGGATTCAAAAATTGGATTTATTTTAGTGTTCTGTGTAATGTCTCTAACATGTAACCATTATATCTTATTAAAAATTTATTTGATAATAAAAAAATTAATAAAACATAAAAACTAATTTTCTTGAAGGATAACTGAAGAGGGATAATAAAATTGGGCACAGGTAATTGTTGTTGAGTTAATTGAAAGTGAACGAGCAGATTCCATTAACCCTTCTATTAAAACATCCATCTCTTCAGGATTTACTGTTTGAATTACACAATTTCCAGCTGATGTTTTAATTAATAATTGAAAAGGATTTAACCTTAGAAAGAGAGTATTTGATAAATCCATTTGAACTTCTTGAATCAACCGAATGTCATAAATTTCTTTATTTATAATGATAGCCTCAATAGAAAAAATGATTAATTGTCCGTCTGAACATTGAATTACTCTTGTCTTCTTTTTATTAAATCGATTTATTTGATAAACATAAAATAACCCACCTAAATGGATATACTTCTTTTGAACAAATTGGTCAATTATTGAGTTGATGTGTTCTACTTCTACAAATTCCATTCTTTGTCTCTTCACAAGAGATTTTTTCGTGATATTATCTTGTCATATACCATTAAATTTTTTTGTGTTTTTTTCTTTTAGTAATTTATAAATCTTTTTTGCTAATGTTAAGTCATACTTTAAAATAAATATATATCAATTTATATTGGTCAAATAAAAATTAACTAAATAATAAAGAATAAATATATTAAATTAAATGAGAAAAAAGAAAACATAGAAAATAGGATGAATGGATGAGAGAAGAAAAAAAAAAGAAAACTGAAAACAAGATTGTTGAGAAGAATGAACACACCACCAAGTTCAAATAATGAGATAGACATAGACGATTTATTAAATGAACCAAATATGACTAGTGCAGAAACTATTAGAAAAGAAGCACTTAAAAAAGAAGAAGAAGAAAAACGGATTCAAGAAGAAAAAGAAAAAGCTGAAGAAATAAGAAGAGCTGAAGAGGAGCAAAAGCAATACGAAGAAGAACAATATCAAAAGCTACTTGAAAATCAACAACAAGAACAAATAGAACGAAAAATGAGTAAAGTAGATAAAACTGTTGAACTCACACCTACATTATTATTATGCCACTTTAATGTAGAGATTAAAGCAATTTATCCAATTCCTGATGTTATTTATTTTAATAGAAAATCATTAAAATCAAGAGAACACTTATTTAGTTTGATTGATTCAACATCATTTGATATATTAACTACTGATCCATGGTCATCAGTTTATTATACTTCAGAAGATTGGACATTTGCACCAATTTCAAATGAAATGGTTGATGACAATATTTTACAAGATAGGTATAATATTGAAACAAATCAAAATTCAGTTACATTTCATAAAGAAAGAAGAAATAGTAAAATGCCAATTATTGAAGCAGAAACTGAATTTCCCTTTTATGAGACATATTTTTACAATAAAAGTTTGTTTTATTATATTAGTGATTTCTGTTATACAAAAGTTTTAGTAATTAATTTTTATTAGAAACAGTTAAACATTATTTGGACAAAGAAGATTCAATACTTCTTTCTGTTGATGAAAGCAAAAAATATAAAAAAGCTATTTTGAGAACAAGTAAAGAATATGTTAAGTTAGTTATTCCACCTGATACTGATCCAACAAAATATAGAAACATCTTCCCAAAAGGAGCTAAAGTCATGAAATATTCAAATATTCCACAAATTGATGATGAATTATTAACAATTGAACAAAGATCAACAGTAAGAAAATATAAATTTGGAGTTGTTTGTGTTAAACCAGGACAAGACGAAAATGCTATCTTTGGTAATGATGAAATACCAAAACGATTTTATGAATTAATGTTTTTGATTGCTGAAAAAATAAAATTAGAAGGATTTGGTGCTTACAGTGGAGGTTTAGATACTAAATTTAATGAAACTGGTGAATTTAGTTTCTACACAAAGTATTTTAATAATGAAGTTATGTTTCATGTTGCTCCTTTATTACCAACAAGTGATAATGATATCCAAAAATTAGAACGTAAAAGACATATAGGAAATGATATTGTTGTATTAGTCTTCTTAGAAGAAGGAGTTAAACATTTTGATCCACGGTTATTTACTTCTCATTTTAACCATATCTTTGTTATTGTTCAACCAATTAGTAAAGAAGAAGCATACACAACATTAGGTCTTGATTTAAAAGAAAGTGATTCACTTAGTTCTAATCCTGTTAACTCTACACAATCTGACGAAGCTCTTAAATACATTGATCCAATGACTTTAGAAAGTATTGCTAGTTCTAAACAAGTAGTTGGAGGTGATAAAAGTACATTAGATACAAGTGGGTTGATTGATCAATTTTGTCGAGTTTCTATAGTAACAAAGCCTAGTATATCTCCATTCCCCCCTTATCTTGATAGTGGTGTTTATCGTATGGACTTGAAATTTAGAGATTTTTTGATGCAAAAAATGATTAATGGTGAACGTACTGCATTACGTTATCCCCCATTTAGGACAAATGCTGAGAACACACGAAGACAGCAAATAGCGTGTATTGCTGCAAAGCTTTAATTTATTTGAATGTGGTAGATTGTTTTCTTTAATAGTCTTTAACTTTCATAAATAATTATATAACTAACAAATAGAAAATTTTTCTTGTTAAACAATAAAGCTAATAATTTATTAGAAAAAACATCTTCTTCATATTCACTATTTGAGAATGGCTTATATCAAATGAATTTTGTAAATTAAAGTAATATATTTCAAAAAATTCTCTATATCAAGAGGGCTTTCAGAAAAGTATCAAATAAATAATCTTTTTTTCTCTTTGAAGCTAAAAGAATGAAAAATAAGTTGAAGAATACAAGAACATTATAAGAACATAGTTGAAGAAAAAACCCTAAACTTTTCATCTTAAAAAATCAATGAATGATTTACAGTATTCAAAACCGAACATTATTGATAATCAAAAAGAAGAAACCACCGCCGATCATCATAGTGTAGAAATTAATACGAATCAAACTAGTATTAAACCAAAAGTACTTGGAACAATGAAATTAACAGGAATTCTTTTTATTTCTGTTGTTGGAGGAGCATATGGAGCTGAACCTTTAGTTCAGTCTGTTGGTCCTTTAGCATCTACAATTATCATGATATGTTCTTCTTTATTAGTCATGTTACCTATCTGTTTGATTACAGCAGAATTATCTTCTTGTTTACCATCAAATGGAGGGTTAGTTGATTGGGTGACATCTTCAATGTCACCATATTCTAATTTCTTTACTATGTTTATCACTATTATCTCATTAATTGGTGCTACAATTGACAATGCAGTATATCCTACATTATTTATTGGTTATTTAACAGAAAAAGTACCAAATTTAGAGCAGTGGGCAATTTTGTTAATTAAATTTGGAGTAACATCTATTGCAACAATATTAAATGTAATTGGAGTTGATATTATTGGAAAGGTAAGTGTTTTATTTACATTATTTGTATTATCCCCATTTGTAATTTTTTGTTGTGTTGGAGTATTCGATTCAAATGCACATTGGGATAATTTAATTGAAACATTACCATTTAAAGAAATGAATTGGTCATTATTAATTTCAGTACTATTCTGGAATATCAATGGAGTAGATGGTTGTGGTAATATTAGTGAAGAAGTCAAAAATGTAGAGAAGACTGTACCACGGTCAATGTTCTTGTTAGTTATTATGACAGTGTTAACATATATTATTCCATGTTCTGTTGGTACAATTTTAGATGACAATTGGGCTAAATGGGAAGAAGGTTCATTCGTATCTATTAGTGAAAAAATTTCTATTGGATGGATTGCTAAATCACTTCCATGGTTAATGTTTATAGGAGGGTTAATATCATCATTAGGATATTTATTAACTTTATTGTGTACAGCATCAAGATTATTCCATGGATTTATCCAACTTGATTTCCATAAATTAATAACAAAATACATTGGACATGTGAATAAAAAATTTAATACCCCTGATGTTTCTATCATTCTCCAAGGAGTTTTAATTTTTATTTTATCTGCTTCAATGAATTTTGATGAATTAGTTGGTGTTGATTCAGCATTTTATGCAATTAGGGTTTTATTTATTTGTATTGCCTATATCCTTCTTCGTTATAGATATCCTAATCTTCATCGTCCTTATAAATTTGGATGTAACTTTACTCTGGCTGTTTTATATGCAACTCCAACAATTATTTTTTGTGTATCTTGTTGTATTCTTGGGTTGTTGTCTTCTACATTAACAGTTATATTAGGAGGAGTGTTACTCAATATTGTAATGATTTCTTCAATAGTTTTCTATTGGTTTTATCCTCATGAGTTTAAACTCCATGAAAACCTTATTGTTCATATAAAAGGAACTGTTTCTGGTTATGCTGATGAAATCACTAAAATTAAAGAAGAAAATAGAAAATCAGGAACTGTTGCAATTATGGAATCTTCAGCTAGTTATTCGATGACAACAGAAAGCAATAGTAATAGTAATTCTTATCAAGAACAATTAAGTATGAGCAGTGATTCAATGAAATAATTGAATTATATTTTTGTTATATATAACTAAATAATTTTTTTGGTAAGGATAAATTTAAAACAAATTAAAATAGTAATAATTTTTATTGAAAAAATTATACTAACAGAAAATTAGAACTTAAAAAAGGTGAAGAGAAGAGAAAAAGATTAAAAATCGAGAAAAAAGAACTAAGAAAAAAAGGTCCATTTAAATGAGTGAACAAAAGAAGGTATTAACTGCAGAAGAACAACAAGAATATAAAGAGGCATTCCAATTATTTGATAAGGATAATGATAACAAGCTTACAGCTGAAGAACTTGGAACAGTTATGCGTGCACTTGGAGCAAATCCAACAAAACAAAAGATTAGTGAAATAGTCAAAGATTATGATAAAGATAATAGTGGTAAATTTGATCAAGAAACATTCTTAACTATAATGTTAGAATATGGGCAAGAAGTAGATTCAACTGAAGACATTAAGAAAGCATTTGAAATTTTTGATAAAGAAAAGAATGGTTATATTTCAGCTTCAGAACTTAAACACGTTTTAACTACACTTGGAGAAAAACTTACTGAACAAGAAGTAGATGATCTTTTAAAAGAAATTGGAGTTGAAGAAGGGTTGATTAATGTTGATGAATTCGTTAAATTGATTACCAGCAAATAATAAATTCACTTTTTTATCAATACTTTTATTTTTAATATTTTAATAATAAATTTTATTATAAATTATAATAAAATGAATGGATGAAATAAGTTAATTACAAATTTCCTCCATCAATGGATTGTCTTGATGAAGAACCACTTTCTGATTCTGAGAAATTATTTATTAGTGCTACAGATGCACATGTCCATATTTCTAATCTTATTGTTTTAAAGTTTTCATTAATTGTTAATGGTTCATTTTTGAATGTCGGGCAAGTATATGTTTGACCTTCTAATGATCTGTTGAACCCCAAACCAGGGAAACCATCACCTCCACCCATAATAAATTTATCTAAATTTGTCATAATAAAATAGTTGTTTGCTGATGTTGAATTATATTTTTTTGTATGAGGTTCAATTGTAAAGAGAAAAGATTCTCCTGTGCCATAATAATGGCGATGAATTTTGATTGGGTCTGATACATAACCCCCAAAAAGTGCATTAGTATCATCTCTGACTAATATAATTAATGGAGAACGTGCTGCACATAAAGAGTATAAATTGCTTAAAGAAAAACCATCAGTTTTTGTTGAAAAAAGACAAGTAAAATCCATTACTGCAAATCTATCTGGTAACATTGATACAAAATCTACATAACTACTAACTGGAATCATATCACTAGGAAGAGTAAGATTTGTCATTCTTTCTTGAATAAAATGAAGGTTTTTATTTTCTGGAGTGTATGGTGTATTTGTAGAATGAACTGATTCCTTAATTGGTAATAAGAAATGGTAATTTGCATAATCAGGAAATGGAAGATCTAATGTTTGAGCAATCACTCCTGGTGCGTCATATTCTAATACTTTAGAAAATATTGGTATTACTTCTTCACTTCGCTTAGGTGGGGTTGATGTTTGTTCAATTAAAATAAGAAGAATTTTTAATGCAAATGGATATCCATACAATAAAAGATATTCGAGGATTGTTAAGGCAATAAATTTGTCTATTGAATCTAATAATGGGATTAACAAATTTGTAAAGAGATTTTCATAGATTGAAACTAAAGATACTGTTAAGGAGTCAACATAATCTGGAAATCTCTCTCTTACTAATTCATCAAATGCAATAAAAAAGTAATCAAATTGGACAATAGTATATGGATAAAGTCCTCTATAAAGACAATTACATACAAAGCAATGAGTAATAACATATGCCTCTAATCCAGAATAATGTTTTACTAATAAATTAAGTAATGGACCAACAAATTGAAGTTTGTGTGACTTTAATTTACCAAAAAGAATGTTAAATACACTAACAGTGAATCGATGTGCTGGAATATCACTATCACTTGATGTGATCGAATTCCTTTGTAACTCAGTAGCACTCATTCTTGGTCTTTCGCTTAAGCTTTCTATAACATGACTTCCAAATGAACTTGAAGTCTTTCTTTCAAATGTCATAAGGTCTAATGATGTTCTTGTTTTACTATCATTAGATGGTCTTAGATGGTCTTCTGGTATATCACTGATAAAAATATTGATAACATTTCTTTCATTTTGAGATTTTAATTCATTTCTATCTTCAGTTAAAGCACCAATTCGTAATTGTACTGGAGAAGTTAACATAAATGAAGTTCGTTTAAACATTGTTGATTTAGATGAGGCAAAAGGGAATACAACTTTAATTACATCTGATACTAATTTTGGGTGACACTGTAAACATTCTTTAGTACCACTAAGAACAAGTAAACCTTCTCTTGGATTAATAGTATGAGATATTTCAGATTTAACATTAATTAAACTTTTCCATAATGAAAGTATATGAGTTAATTGGTCATTTCGTTTTCTATCTCGGGTACGAATCTTCTTTTGATACTGTTTTTCTTTTCCACATTTTATATAAAGAAAACGAAAGTACTTACACCAAAAAATGTTTTCTGGTCTAAATAACTTAATAAGTGTTTATTAATTAACTCCCTAAATACTAAAAGAATAAAACAAACATATCTTTTGGTACAAAAGACGAAAATACATTGTGTACATTTTGATGAGTAACTAATATAACAGCGATATGCATTAATTGATTATGTGTTAAAGGGGTAAAAGCCTCTAATTAATGTTACACGGCTATGACTCATTGTTGAATGGTAACCTAAAAAGAAAAACAAACGAATCTCCTTTTTTGTTGGATAAGGAATTGATAATATACACTCTTTATTGAAATCATGTAGAACAGGATTTAAAGAATCAAAATCAAGAATGAATTTTGAGTTAGATTTACAGTCAAAATATTGTCTCACATCCATAGTTTAATAAAAAATGATAGTTTATTTCTTTTAAGATTGAACAAAATTTCACTTTTTTCTTTTCATTTTTTATATTTTTTGTTTTATTCTCCTCTTCTTCTATTTCTATTTTCTTCTATTTTTATACTTTTATTTTAGGAGGCATAAGTGGATTCCTTTTATTTATGAAAAAAAAATTGTGTTATTCACAAAATAAATTAGTGTTTTTTTATTTTATTTATTACTTCAACAGGATATAAAGGTTACACATCACAGACACTACACAGAACCACAAAATATTTCCATTGATCTTACTATTAATTAGAAAACGTCTTAATCAATATCGTAATAATATCAGTGATTATTATTTATGTTGATCAAATATCATTATAATAAAAATGTATTTATTTATAATGATGATAGTATTATTAATTACTTGTTAGAACACAAGTGTATTTGTTAATACACTTGTATTATCAATGAAAAACTATCTGTTGTTGTAGTGCTGCTAAAATGAAAATTAGTAATAGTAATATAGTGATAATGATATATTCTTCTTAAAACAAAACAGTAAGTAAAGAAGAAGATTTTAATACTCATTAAAATCAGATAATAACTTAAATGGTGAATATTTAATTCAGAGATATCCGAAATACTTTATTGTACATTAAATAAATGAATAAATGAAATTGTCAGATTTTAACAAATAAAAGCTAAAAATAAACTAATAGATAATGAATATACAATGTTAAAACGAATATTCTGCATTGAACAATAAACAATAGAAAATAATTCTATTAAATTTAATTATCTCCTTTTTATTTGATTATACCTCAACTTAATCTTATTATATCATTTTGAGATTATAAATAAAAAGTAGTTAATTAAGTATTAATAGAAATATCTTCTATTGTTCCTTGCTCAGCGGAGATTAACAATCCCATCCCTTCGCTTTAAATGTATTTGTTCTTCAACTTTTGGCTTATTCTTTGCTTCTAGTTGTTGAACTGTGAGATTTTCCTTTTCTCGTTTTTGATGTGGAATAAAGTATTTTAAAGATCCCTTATTTAAATATTCATTACTTAATTTCTATTTAATTCGATGGGTTTTTAAATTTCTATGGGTTTTTAAATTTCTTTCTAATTTCTATAGGTTTTTAAATTTCTTCGTTATTTTCTTATTTTAAGAGAATATATAATTATTACTGTATTGCTTTGGGCCAATATTCTTTTTAGAATCAACCACTTGACCCTTTTTTTTCCTTTGATAATCTTTCTTAATTATCAAATAATACTTGTATTCTAACAAGTAATAATAACATCTTTATAAATACTCATTCGTTTATTATCAATGATATTCTGTCATTGTACATAATAAACACTGCTATTCTTGCAGTACCGGGTAAGATGTTTTTCTAACCAAACGTAACGTCACAACCAGTCCATAACTGGAGGCAAACCAATGTATTTTTGGGGTTCTGAGTGAGTCTTTGACGTACTACTTTCCAACTTACTTTTGAGACTATTTAAAGAGAAAAAGAAATTATTTAATCATACAATAATACTATTTTATTATAATAATACTATAATATAAAAAATTGATACTTTCGAACAAAAGTAATGGATTTTCAGGTTATTGATAGACAAAAAGAAATATTTAACCATTGAATTATAATATTTTGTTAAAATACACGAAAATACGACATTTATTGATGTGTAGAAAAAACCGAAACTTTGAAATCAAAAACAAAAAGGGAATTATTTAACCATTGAATAATAATATTTTATTATAATAATATTATAATATAAAAAATTGGTGATTGGAAGAAAAAAAAAGATTATTTTATTAAACTAATAATAAATTTTTATTCTTCTTTATAGATGTTGAATACCACACAAATACAGCGAATCATTCCATACGTTTCTCTAACAACAGTAAAACAGCTCATTCAAGTTAATAAAAAAGTTAAAATGGCTATAGAAGAAATGAAAGTAATTCCATTCTTTAAAACAGAAAATAAAAAAAGAGAAAATAACAAAAATAATTTTTTTGTTATATCAGAATTATTTCCACAAGCCATTGCAGCTACAATTGATGGAAAAGAAATGACACAACTTGATGAGAAAGGAAAATTGAAATGGGTTGATGAAGAGGATATCATAAAAATTCAACAACTAAGAATTATTAATTTACCTGATGACTATGAAGTTCTAATGAATGTTAGAAAACGGGTTGTTGGAATAGAAACAAAAATATATTATTATGACGAAATAGATTTTGACCATTTTCCATTATTATATAAAGCTTGCTTGGATTTTGATGGAGTTTCATTTGATTTTAGTGATATGTTTATAAATCGATGTTACAATGTTGAGACTGTATGTATTAAAGGATTTACTGATTATCAATTACTTATTAATATTTTAAAGAGTGAATCAATTGGAAATAAAATAATAATTGAAGTAGATGAAAATATTAAATGGGAAGAAGTTGAAGAACTTAGTAATTATTGTATTCTTACTTTAAAAAATTTTAAAAATTTTAAAAATAATGAAATAATTAATAAAATTCTTGTTTTAGATGGAACGTATTATGATGAAATAGAAAATGATGAAAATTATCTAGGAGAACTGAATGATGATTTAATCTATTTAATAGATTTAGTAGATCCAAATGAATTTGCAGACATAACTGAAGAAGGTGTTTGGTTGGGCAAATAGATGGTAGTTGTTATTAATTAGTTTTTTATTTATTTTTTCTTTTAATTATAAGAAAATATTATTTTATTATTATTCACTATTAAAATAATATCATTTTTATTATTTCTTATAACTTAATAATTAATTGTATTTGTTGTAATCTATATAATAATTCTTAAAATATTATTATTAATAATACAAAACTATCACTTTAATAAAATTTTCTTTTATTGTTATTCTGTTATTATTGAATAAATTACAACTTTTTTATGATTCAGTAAAAAGTGAATTTTTGTTTAATTGTCTAATACAAATATTTACTTTATTAGTAAATAAACTTTGATACTTTATTTATTTTATTGACTTATTTTTCGTTTATTTTTTAAATTAATAAAATCATTTAGCTACATTTTAAGAGGTAATTAGTATATGCCAATCACCGAGCAAGATGAAGCAAATTTCTATTGATAACATTGAACCCCTTTATAATATTAAAATTATAGAAGGCATATATTAACTGTTATCAAAAAATAGGTTTAAGACTTTTAAGATATCATTAAATATTATAATGTTTAATATTTTTATTAATTTCTTAATAATTTCAAATTTAATTAGATGAGATTTTAAATCTTTATAAGAAAACATATTTATCATCAAATCTTAATATTATAATTTATTTTATTGTTTTTAAATTTTTTTATAATTTTCATAAATAATACTTTCTTAATATATAAAGAAGTTTAAATTAAAGTATTTTAAATAATAAAATTTATTTTAGAAATAAATGAATTTTAAATATAGTATAGTATTTATTTCATAACAATTTGTTTTATTGAAATAAAGTTATAGTTTGATTTAATAGAATTAATTGAATTAATTTAATCTAAATCTATTTGACTGTTAATACATTAAATTATCTTTCAATTTTTATTCAAGTTAAACAAGACGTCTTTGAATAAATTTGATAATAGAAATTTACTTATTTTGGTGTTCTACTAAATTATTAATTTCTAAATGAAGTAGATAAAAGATAGGTTCTTAGCTTATTTCCTTTTTTGTAACTATTTATTCATTAAAAAGGAAATAAAACAAACAAAAGAAAATTATAACTAATAAATAGAATAATATTTTTAGATGTATTGATTCAAAGAAGTATTTATTCTTGTTTTTTTCATTAAAACTTATTTATTTTAATATTTCTTTCAATAATTATTATTATACAACTATTTTCATTTAGGACTCTATTGTTATTAAACTTTATTTTACTGAATTTTGAAGAATAAAAAACTCATTATTAAGTTTAATAACTTTATCATATCACTTCAGTTAATTTCAATTTATTTCTTATAAAATGGTTAATAATAAAAAAATTTTAACGTTGATTAAAATAAAATGAATAAATATATTTTATGAAAATACACCAGAAACATAATTTAAATTACCAATAGTAAAAAAGGTTGTAATTTATAAGACCAAGAACAAATAATTGCAAGAGTTTTGTTTGGTTGTTTTAACATATCAATAAAATATAAAACGCATTATTATTATGTTATTGTTTATTAACGTTATTGCATAAAGACATAAATAAAAATTCACTACTTTCCTACTACAAAACTAATCAAAATCAATAATTCTCATCATAGAGAGAATAACTCTTCTCCTGATTTAAGCACATCCTTAAAAAGGAAATTACTTAAAGTACAAATAGTGTTATTGATTTTTAGAGTTAACGTATTGTTTGTTTTGGAAAAGACAATAACACAGATAGTCGTCGTTAAATATTCATTGTAATTCTATTACACTTAAGATTGCCATGAGTTTGTTTTGTAATCACGAAAAGATGAAAGGAAAAATCCTAAATGAATTTTTCTTTTGATTTTTCATTAGTCCTTTTCATTGATTTTTTTCAAATACTTTTCCTAATTACAAACGATAACTTAAAAGATTAAAATTGGTTAAGTTATGAAGAAAGTACAATACGACCCTTTTGGAGATGGTTATAGTACTATCATAGAATATTCTGATGATTTTTTCAGTAGTCTGTCATCCACACCATCAATATCTCCTGTTCTTCCTGATGTAGATTCATTTTGTGATCAATTAACAAATAGACCTCTCACGCCAAACCAAGAAGAAGTATTTTCTCCCAAAACAATTACAAGAAGTGTCAGTGAGACTAATGACTTTAACACACTAGAAACTCAAGGAAAAGTTATTGGTTCATTATCTCCTCGTTTAGACCCATCACATAATTCTCATACTCCTCGAATGAAAAAAGAACGTAGTTGGAGAACAGCACAAATATTTCAAAAAGAAAAGGTGTTGAAAGTCGTTGATTCGTTAGAAGGGTTCAGTACGGAAGACGACTATATTCCTTTTGCTGAAATACCTCCAAAAAAAATGTGTCTAACCCCAACAGCTCAAAGTCAAGTCTCTCTAATTAATACAAACAATACAAGTACTCCTAACATTCTCTCTTCTTCAACACAAAACAGTGAAGGAGAGATTAAAAAGAAAGTTCAAAGAGATAAAATTTGTCATGAAAATAGTAAAGAAATAATTTGCGCTAAACCACCTCCTAAATCAAGTCCAAGTGATATAATAAACCAAAGCTTACAAAGAGAGAAAGACAGAAATATCAAAAATAAATCTGAACTTCATGAAGAGACAAGTGATGAATATCAACAAATAAATGGTCAAAGTTTAATTGAAAATAGTAATACAGATTCATCTATTGACACAAGCACAATAAGTTCAAGTGACTCATTAACTTTAATGTTAGACAAAGGTCCAACAAAAAATTATAGAGAAAGAATATTAGATGAATTTGTAAGCTCAGAATATACTTATGTAATAGGACTAAAGATATGTTCAAAATTTTTTGAAGAACCACTATCTAAACAACAAAAATACTGTCCACCAAATTTATTTTCTATTGTATTTAAGGGATTTAATGATGTTTATAGAATAAATTCTAATCTTCTTCAAGAATTAAATAATTTAAAGAATCATGTTAATGGGAAATCATTAGATACTCATCTTGGTGAAGCATTTAGTCAATTTATACCTTTATTAAATGTATACAAAACATATGTAGGTAATACTGAAGCACAATTTGCAGCATTAGATAGATTAGAATCAAAGAGTTCATTTAAAAAACTTTGTTTTAACTTACAATCAAAAATTAGTGTTGGCCATGCATTAAATTTACGGTCATATCTTATTACACCAGTACAAAGACTTCCACGATATAAACTACTATTAGAAGATCTTATTAGAAATACACCAGAAGGACATTGTGATTTAGCTAGATTAAAAAATGCATTAGATAAAGTAAAGTCTATTAATCTAAACGTGAATCATTCAGTAGATATACAATCAAGACAACAAAAGTTAATTGAATTATCTAAAAAGATAAAAGGAATAGATGATTTAATTCAGCCAAATAGGTATTATATCTGTGATGGAGAACTTACAAGGATTAATCAAAAAGGAAAAAAAGTTAAACACTTTTATTTATTTAATGATAGACTTATTAGTGGAAAACCTGGAAATGAAATTATTGTTTCATTTGATGAAAAAATAGTAAATATTATGATTCAAGATGATTCTGATAGATCATTTAATATTCTTTCACCAAATAAATCATTTGAAATACTTTGTACTAATGAAGAAGAAAAAAGAGAATGGTTTGAGAAAATTGTTGACGCAATTAATACAGCAAACCAATTAGTTCCTGTTCAACAATCTAAAAAAACTATTGAATATGCACCTTTATGGTTACCTCAGTCTATTCAAAACTGTCAATTATGTGGTAAATCATTTAGTTTACTCAATAGAAAACAATTTTGTATACATTGTGGATTATGTGTTTGTAATGGATGTTATAGAGGAAGGTTTATATTTAATGGAGTTAATAAAAGGGGGTGTGATAGGTGTATGAAAAAAACATTAGCAATGAATAAAATCATTATTGATGATGAAATTTGTAAAAGAAAAACAATTCGCATGAAATCAAGTACCGAGGATGACATTGTTCTTCGGCTTGAAGGTGTAAACTTAACAAGAGTAAGATCAAATGCCAATGTTGCTCCCGTTCGTCCATTATTAATAAAGAAATCTATAAATGAAAATATTGTAAAGAAAGATTGATAATTAGTAAAAAGAAAGTGTCTCAATAGAAAAGTCCTAAGAAGGCAAGTATTTCACTTTATCATAAAGACTGTTGTTTCATACAAAGTATACCAGTGAATGTTTTAGTAAATATAATAAAAATATTAGAAATTTTTTATTAAATTTTTTACAAAAACTAAAATAACAAAAAATAGAACTAAAGAAATAAAAAGGTTAAATAATATGCCAAAAAAGATAATCAAAAAAACTATCCAACTTATTGATGATGAAGAGGATGATAAGAAAGTAGAACTTTCAATACAATCAAATCCATTTGTAAAAAGAAACACAAAAGTACACCAAAAAGAAGAAAAAACAGAAAACTCACCTTTACAAGGATTAAAATTAGAAGGAGAATTTTTTGTTTTAACAAAAAGACAATTTAAAAGAACAAGAGATGGAAAAGAAAAAATTGTTAATAATGAATTCAGTGAAAGGAGTGTTCCTGTTAAGAAATGCAAAAAGAAAAAAATAACAAAAACAATTAGTTTTGATGAAGAAAATGATGATTCAGAATTTTTTATATCTTCAGAACTATGCAACTCACAAAATGCATCACAAAGAGATTTAAGTCAATTAAATGAACTTAAACTAAACAACAATATATATCAAGTAAAATACACGAGTGAAAAAGAACCAATAGTATTCACTCAACGCTCATTTAAAAGAAATAGAATGAATGGAGAAGAAAAGAAACAAATTATTGTTATTAACCAAGAACCTAAACGTGTTAAAAAAACAAAAGTCATTAAAAAAAGTTGTTCTGAAAATGAAGAATTTGTTGGAGGTCATACAATTATTACACAAAAACCAAAACTAGAAAATGTTTTTAATTCTATGGTTTTTTCTAGTTTTATTCATAATCATGCTACTAAGTTTACTAAGAAAGGAAGAAAAATTGCTCAAAAAATTGCATTTAATGAAATGGAAATAGACGTCTTTAAATCTGGAAATTTATCAACGAATTCATTAGAAAATGGGTTATGTAAAAGGGAAGTTGAAGTTATTTGCCAAAGAATGTTTAAAAGAGATAGAAAAACTGGTGAATTAAAAACAAAAATACAACAAAAGATTGAAAATAAAGGAATTAAAAAAATAATAAAGAAAAAAGTGGTCAAAACAATAAGACAAGATGATTTAAATGATAACAACTTTTTCGAAGATATGAAAAACGAAAGTCATAATTTATATGAAAAAAAAATAATCAGAGAAAAACCAGGAAAAACAACAATGATGATAGTTGATAAAGAACTATATACAAAAGACGAACAACCTATAACTATGGCTCATTGTTTCAGAAGAAATAAAAAAAATCCAGAAGTTGAAATGAAATTTAAGTATGGAATAATTCAAAAAGAATTAACTGACGAAGAGCAAGTAAAAATTCGTAAGAAGAAAGTGATTAAGAAAAGTGTTAATTTTGAAGATAGCGATGAGGAAAAAGAAAAACCAAAAACAAGTAAAAAGAAGATTATAAAAAAGACAACTCATTTTAATGATGATGAAGATTCAGAAACCAAAATGGAAAAGATAAGCGTTCATAAGAAAAAAATAATCAAAAAGACATTAAACTTTAATGATGAAGAAAATGAAATAAAAGAAAAGATAACAGAAAAACCATCACCTCATAAAAAGAAAATCATAAAAAAGATCACATCTTTGGATGATGATGAACAACCAAAAAAAGAAACAACTGTTAATAACTCTTCAAATATGTTAAAAGGAATTAAAAAAGTAACTAAAAAATTAAATAAAAAGAATTCAAAAAAAATTAGTGTTTCATTTACACGATTTGAAATGGACTTTGACAATTATAATGATGAAAGCTGGTTATCTGACTGTGAAAATTTTTCTAATGAATAACTTCTAATAAAAAATTATTTTTTTGTTATGTTAAATTTTTGGTATTTATTTTTTAATAATAGATTAATAAATATAAAAAAATAATTATTTTCTAATAAAAAATAGTTAAAAAAAGGGAATGTATGATTGAAAAATAGAAATGGAATTTGAAAGAATCAAAAGAAAAGTCGAAATAAAAATCTAAAAAATTATAAAAAAGGTTTTGGAATGGAGGAGTTTGTGGGTGATGAATTTATTTTTAATATACAAAGAAAAGATAAGAACAAAAAAAGAGTTATTAATTTTTAGAGAAGACTGGATCACAGTAGGGAAAGAAAAGAAACCAAAAAAGGTCAAAACTAAGCCAGTAAAACAAAATAAAGAGAATAAGAAAAAAGAAAAAGTAGTATTGAATCAGGAAAAACAAGGGATTACAAAAAGGGAAGTTGTTCCATTACCTCATGACCAGAACCATTCATATTCTACTCCTACTATGGCTGGATCACCACAACTTGATGAATATACGAAAGAAGAGTTAGAAAAAAAGTTAGCTGAATTAGGAGATAGTTCAAATAATCTTCCACCTCCATTAATGAAAGTAAAGAAAAGAATAGAAGTATTATTAGAAAGAATTGAAAGGAAAGAACAACAAGAAATTCATCAAAAGAAAATTTCTGTTCCATCAACTACAACAATAGAAACTAATAATAATAATATTCAACCAATAGAATTAACTCAAAAGAGTAATGTGAATATAATAATTTTTTTAATAATAATTTTTATTATTGTTATATTAATATTTGCATACACTTACCCATTTAATTAATTAATTTATTATATTATTTGTTTTCTATTTTTCTTTTTCAAAGGATAAAAATAATACATTTTTAAATTAATGTTATTTTTTTTAATAAGAAAATGAAGTATAACAAAATATAAATATAGTTTAGTTTAATCAATAGAAGATTTATTAAATTTTAAGTTAGAAAGAAATATAGTAAAAATATATAATTTAAACTATATTATAATAAATCAGATTAGTAAGTCACTAACATAACTCAAAAAAATAGAAAAGGATGTCCGCAGCAAAGTTTATCCAAAGTAATTATAAATCAATCCTCAAAGATCCATTAGAAGGTATATATGTTGAATATGCATCAGAAAACAATATATTTGAATGGAATATTTGGATGGAAGGACCAACACAAACACCATATGAAGGAGGTGTATTTAATTTAAGAATGTTCTTCCCTGATGATTTTCCATCTAATCCACCAAAATTAGTATTTAAAAGTGAGTTTTGGCATCCAAATGTATATCCAGATGGTAAAGTTTGTATTAGTATTCTTCACCCACCAGGAGAAGATGAAATGTCTGGTGAATTAGCTTCAGAGAGATGGTTACCAACACAAAGTGTTAGTAGTATTTTGTTAAGTGTTCAATCAATGTTATGTGATCCAAACATGTATTCTCCAGCAAATACTGATGCTATGGTTCAATGTAGAGATCATAATAAAGAATATTTAAAACGATGTAAAGAAGTAAGTTTAAAAGGACGTGCTTCACTTCCATTATCTATTAAAATACCACACCCTGATACAGACCGTATTGAACATCAAAAACAAATAGAAAAAGCAAAGGGATATGACTTAAAATGTTCAATGGATATTGACATGTTTGATGACGTTGGGGATGGTGAAGAAATTATCTATGATGAAGATGATGAAATAAACTAAGTCTATTTCATCGTTACTCTTTTTTTTAATGCCTTTTAGTAATTCATTTTTTAAATTTAAACAGAATTTTTTTCTTTATAATAATTATTAAATTGTAAAGAAGAATTAATTATTCCATCTTTTTATAGTAATTTATTACTACTAAATAAATGTTGTAAGACATCATTAAGACAATAAATGAAATGCAAATAGGTAAAAATTCAATAGAAGGAAGTAGTTCAAAACGATAAGCAACTAGAGAGTGTTCAGTAATAAATAAAATGTCAGTTTTCATATCATTTGTTAAATCACCAAATATTGGTGGCATAATTGGTTTCATTTTTGTTTTTAACTTTTCTGTGCCAATTAGATTTCCTTTTAAGTCTGATATACAAATTTCATTATCTCCTTGAACATAAATAAAAGAAGACACTTGGCCTTTATATGAATATGGGAATAACTGAAAACTTGGTTTAAAAGTAGTTAAATCTAATTGGTTTAATTCCCAATTAACTGGTAAGAATTTATACCATAATAATGTTCCATCATTATGAAGTGCAGTTAATAGTCCATTACTATTTAATGTATAAATATCATATGTTGGTCTACCATCATGTGCTTTACCATCACTTGGAATTAATAAAGGAGGTAAAATTTGAAAGAATTGTTTTTCTGAATTTAATGATTTTCTAAATAAGTTAAATCTTTTTTGCTGTTCGCAAAGGTTAAATGAAAATAAATCATCATTGGTATTTACTACTGTGGCATGGACATAACATGAATAGTCATCTTCTGTTCGTTCTAATTCATTATATTGTAAATTAGTATGAGTGTATACTTCGTTTAGTGCATCATCTCCATCAATATCTGCAAACGAAGACGCAGCAGATATGGTTGAAGTTAGTAAAGTAACGTGAAGTAATGGCTTTCCAGTAAAAAGATGAATAACTTCAATTCCATTCATATGATGTATAACAAGAACATTAGGATTCTTAATAAGATCAAATTGATTAAAACTATTATAAATTGAATGGTTAGGACGAATATATTCTGTTGGATTATTAATAATATCTCTACTAAAATGTGCAGGAACAATATGAGTATCATAATATGATGCCCATATATGAGGCAAATTCTGGAATATACAATCATGGAATTCATGCCATTGAACAGTATCGAAATCATGTAATATACTTTTATCCATTTTTAGATTCTTATATACTTCTATATAGTCTTCTTGATGAATTAATTGTAAATCATTTTGGTCTTCATCATCTCTTTCATGTTGCCAAATAACTTGTCCATCTTTTAGACTGAATGCATAATAATTCATATGTTCAATTAACTCAGGAACAAATCCACCATCATCCATACTTATTTCATTTTGTTCAAATATTGGTTTACCGAAACTATATCTTTCATCCTGCTCAAATGCTGTATCAGCTCTATTTCCAACAAACGCTTTATCGTTTGATGTTCTAAATGCTGTAATAACTGCTCCTTGATATTTGGTTTGTATTTGATATGGTATAACAACTGCACTTACTTCTTGGACATATGGTTGTGCAATTGAAGAATACACTTGTTGTTTCCATCGTAATTTTAAATCAGAAGTATAACACCTAACCTCAAAATTTCTTAAAACAACAATAATAACTTGTTCCCTTCGTAGATTTTCTTTGTACTTTTTGTCATAGCCACTTGTTAAATAAATTGCATTAGTATTATTGGGAAGAGAGACTTCTTTCTTTAAAATTAAATTCCCATGATTAAATGAATATATAGAAATTTTTTGTGACATAAAAGGTGCAACAACAAGATCATTCTTTCCATCACCATCAATATCTGTTATTAAAGGAACAGCATTTAATTCAGACTGCCAATTTCCTTGATAAGGATATTCAAACAATAGTTCCAAAGATGAAATTGATTGGTTTTTAATTAAAAAATACCACCCAACAAAGCAAAGAATGAGTATGATCCATTTTATTGTGTTCATCTCTTTCTTCCTTAAAAAGTTAAAGTTCAACAAATAGTAAATTAATAGTAAAGGTATTAATATTTTAATAATAAAAAGTACAAAACGAAGTCATTGACATCTCTCTTTTTGTTTCGGTTGTTCAATAGGAATTGATAATTCAATTGGACGGTTTAATGCAAGTTCTACCATATCTGATAGTAATTCATCTATTCCTGTATGTAATTTTGCTGATGTAATAAAGTAAGGGTAATGTTCTTTTGTAGAGAAATTAATAAGGTCTTTTTTTATGTTTGGTATTTCAATATCAGCTTTACATAAAATAAGAATAATTGGAATAGTAGCGCTAGGATTATCACGTTCAATAAAAGTTAACCATTCATTAATCTTTTTAGGTTCAAAAGGAATACTAGAGTCTATAACTAAACCAATCAAATCAGCCCCACGATAATATGGAGTTGGTCCAAAAAAAGAAATTTGTCTAGGAGTATCCCAAAACGTAATTTTTAAAACCTTACTTCCTTTTTTTACTGCTAGACCTTTAAAGTCAATTAATTGAGACGGTTTATTTTCTTCATATTTTGATCCAACCAATGCATTAATTAAATTACTTTTTCCACATCCATCAGAACCAAAAAAAACAAATTTTAATTGTTTTTCTTCTGAGATAATGTTATTGGCTTTCTCTGTTGTCATTAAATTCTTTTTTTAAGTTCTTTTTATCTTGAAACAATTGTAATTTTATGTTTTATTTAACATTAATTTGACTTATTTTGTTATAAAGAATAAAATAAAAGAAAATAATTCAATTATAACATCAGTTTAACACATGCATGAGCTTCTTCTTCTGTATTAGAAGTCATTACACATTCACGAATTTTATAAGAAGGATCAAAGAATCCATTTACCAAAGAAGTGTATTTAAGGTAATCAACTTCAGAATTAATTAAAGAAGAATATACCTTTTTAATAGAAGAAGGAGAGGCATCTGATGTATGATATAACTGAGTGAATTGCATTGGATTTGTCCAAATACCTTTTAATTCTAAGTTTGATTGAATAAATTGCATATAAAAGTCTTTATAATCTTTAAGAATACCATTAACATTATCATAAGTATATACTCTATATCCCGGAGTATTTCCAAATATTGGAGAAATAGCAGGTGCTGTTAAAATAGGAATATCATCAATTATTTTTATTTCAGAACGATGGTCATGTCCAAATACATATCCAACAATAATATTTTGATACTTTTTAAAAGTTTGTATTAACAAATTTTGAATTGATTGAACTAAGTAATTTTTACAATCATATGCTGCAACGCCAAGTGGAAAATGTCCAACAACTAATACACTATTTCCTTTAGCTTGTGCAATTTCTAAAGACTTTTCAATATATTTAATAGAACCACAATCATCACCATTAAGTTTAGGTCCATATAATAATGTATTAATAGAAAGAACAGATAATGAAAATTGATTAAAATGTTTTATATAACTACCGTGTTTAATAAATTCTTCTTTTTCTGAAGCTGGTATTTGTGATTTAAGAAGAGTATAATATTGTTCATATCTTGGGTCATTACATTTTGTTATATATGACGGATTAATATCATTATTTCCAATTGAAAATACTAATGGAACACCATCAAATCTATTAGAAACTAGTTGTAATACTCCTTTAATAGCATTAGAATTATTAACTCCTTGGTAATGACCAGCAAGGTCACCACTTAAAAGAATAATACCTGGATATGGAGTTGTACGATAACTTTGTTGTATTGTTTCTTTTACTAAATTTTTATTTGAATCACAGAAGTATATCCCATAATATGGATTCACTGGTTTTGGTACTTTTTTATATACTAATTTAACTCTTTCATCCATTTTATATCCTTCTCCTCTACACATCGTAGTTTCATCATATTTAGTTGGATCCATTAACAAGTCGTAATGAATGTCAGTTAATTGAATAATTTCTATTGATTGACTCTGGTATATAATAATCGATAGTATCAGTAAAATCATTTCTGTTAATTCTTTTGAAGTTCCTTTTGTTTATTTTTTAGTTTGTTTTTGTGGATTATTTTTTATTTGTTTTATATAACGTATATTTGGAATTATAATCTATTATTTTTGTTTTTGATTTCTCAAAAATTCTATAAAATAATAACTTAATTTTCTGAGTTTTTTTTGGTCAATATAATTTTATAAATTTTCTTGTTTAATAACAATAAATTTATTGAAAAATTATTATATTCTTATTTTATTATATCGTTTTGTTTGCTTCATCAAAAAGAAAATTATAAAAATAGATATTTATGAAAACTATCTCAAGATTCTTATTCTTTTTTTTAGAGAACATTAATTCTTACATTATAATAAATTTAGTTATATTATAAATAATTTTATTAAGTTTACACAGTGTACTGATAAAAAAATAAATGTATTGATAATTTGAATATAACGATATTTTTTTGTAAAAACAAATTATTTCTCTTTTATATTCAAGTGAATATTTTTCTAAATAAATATATAATTTTTTTTTGATAATTGTGTTTCATTTAAATATCATATTTTTATTTAGTTGATTAGTTTTGTTTTTTAGTAAGATTATATCTCAATTACTAAATGAACATTATGTTATTAAATCAGACAAGTTATCCAATAAACTATCGACTTTGTTATAAAAAGTCTATAGTTTTATAAAAGTCCAAAAATTAAATAGAAAAATAAATTTTTATAAATTTTTTAGAAATTGAACCAAAAAACAAATAATAGAAAAAATTAATTAAAAAATGTTTATTTCGATATTATTTATGTATTATGAATGTCATGTTGATTTTCACGTTTTCTACAATTTAAACGATGAAAGTTGATTAACACAAGCACCCCCACACATTTATAAATCGTTTTATTTGTTTTATATAATATTATTTACAATATTTAATAAGTAATGAATTATAATTCGTAAACATTTAATAAATATTTTTTTGTTCAGTTCTTTAAATACTACAAAATTGAAAAATATCATTCTTTGTCATTTTTATTTCTGTAGAATAATTTAGTTTCAAATGTAATTTAATAGTAAATTTGATAGTAATGAGGTTTTGTAATGAGGTTTTAAATAGTTTTATTCTTATTACATTGTGGGTTTATGTCTGACTTTTAATAAAAGTCATACTGACCTCATTCACTTTGTTTTGACCGTTAATAGTTTAGTAAAGCTTTTTTTATTTATTGTTATAGAAATTATTTTATAATTTCATAAGTTTATTAACTATTACTAGATAATTTTTCTGTTATTCTTTGTTTCTTTTCCTAAGATAGTTTCTATCTATTACTATCCTTCTATTAATCACATTTATTTTTTTATTTGACCGTCATTTCTTATTTAATTCATGTCGTCATTTTTATTTTTAATAACAATATTCTTTTTTTATTTAATTATTTTAGATTTTTGTTTTTGTTCAAGATTTCTACACTGATTTGTTCCTGAAATATAGTATATCTAACACATCATAACTAATACTCTTTATTAACTCTAATTTATTTCTTGAACTCTTAAATCTAGTTATATTCTTTTATTTATTCTGTGACTATATTTTCTTTTTATTTGAGTTTTTTGGTTTTATTCAATTAAATCAACACTTAGTCCAAATTTGAATAGTCATGACGCAAAAATTTAAAATACAATTTCTGGTGTCATTAAATTGTTTTTGGATCCTTTCTTTCTTGAATTATTTTATTTATTACTAACACTACCAAATCTTTTTTTATTTCATTACAACAACCCAAATTACTTTTCATTTATTGAATCAAACTTTTTCAACAATTTTTAGTCATATAAGAGTTCTTGTTTCTTTTTATTGGATTATAATACGTCTTCTAACAACACTTTTTAAGTCTTCTCTTTAGGGGGAAACTGTCAATACAATTTATCATCCTAGTATTTATTTTATTGGAGTTATTAGATATAAAAAATGTACAACTTACCAATAAATGACTTAGATATTAAACTGGTTTTTTTTAAAAAAAGAGTTCGAAGGAATTTTTATTTAATTTGATTCATAAGTAGATTCTTTTTAATTATGTCAGTACTGTTTTATAGAGTCTTACCTGTCTTAAATAAAACAGCAATCAATTTAATAGTAATGTTTGAAAAATCTAACATTGTTCTTTGTGTTAACAAATTAAAATATAAATTTTGTAGTGTAAGAACGAAGGAAAAACTTTCTCTATTCATTAGAAAACTATTACAAACTACTTTCATAATAAATAGATTATGTTTTGTTTCACTCTTCATAAATGTGATCAAATTCTTCATATATCATTTTAATTCACTTTGTTATTATACATTAGTTTTATCAAATGAATTTATTTATAAAGAGCATACTCAATACAACTAATAAATACAGTAATAATATAACATTTTCTAACAAACAAATCAACCAACAGTAATTAACAATACTAAATAAATTCAGTTAATGAGAAAGAGAGTAACTAAAGATTTTCACAATTATTAATTTGTATTTAAGATAAAAGAATACAAATCAACAAAAAAAGAATAAAAGAAACTAAAAAAGAATAAAAGAAACTAAAAAAGAAGATAAATCAAAAAAAAGAAATTAGTATTATTTTGTTCTGGTTCAAGATGTAATATACTAATACACTAGATTATTAATAAAACAAAGTGTTGTATTCACACAGAATTTTAATTCCTAAATAAAATAAAATGAGTAAAGAGAAGAATATGTTTTGACAAAAATATAAAAGTATTTTCTTATAACAAGTATAAAATCAATTACTTTAATAAATAAAAGAAAATGATAAAAAGTTTTTATAAACAGATCAGTTCATAGATAAATTGAATTGATAAAAGAATAAGAAATCAAAAACCAAATTAAAAGAAATTATAATGAATTTATTAAAGAAAGATAGTTTTTGAGAAGATTAATAGAAACAAAACAATGTTGTCTTTTCCTTCTTTTTAACAAATCAAAATTTAAACAAAGACATTACAAACATCAAAAAAGACAATCAATCAGTTCATGTAAAATCATACATACATAAATTTTACTGAGCATTACAATCAGGTGGATTTTGAAGATGGTCTGGGATTTCTTCTTCTTCCATTCTTTCTAAAAACTCTTCATCAGTATCTTCTTCAATACCATCGAGGTCATCAAAATAATCTTCTGGATGAGCTCTATTAGGAATACTCTCATCAAAATAAGAGATAGCTTGATCAACAAATTCATTGACAAATCCCATTAATATTTTAAATTGCATCTTTCTATCTTCTTCTTTTTGTTTTTCAATAACTTGAGAATATTCACCATCTTCTTCTTCATGTTTTAAATCATCAAACAAATGAAAGAAACTTGGAATTACTTTTTGTTGTTGAGAAGCAATTCCTTCAATTCTATTTCTTTTTTTAAATGGTCTAGAAACTCGAGGATCTTTTCCTGGCATCCAAACAATAGGAATTTCAGTTTCTACTTCTGGTTCTAACATTTCCATTTCTGGATTATTCCATCCACAAACTTTATATGAAATAATTTTTACTGCTTCTGTAGTTTTCATAAGTTGATTTGGTTGAAAAATAAATCGAACTCGATGAAGAACAGAAAGTGCAGGTGTTTTATTATCTCCTAAAAAACATATTGTTAATGGCATATCTTCTACTATAACTTCTGTTAAATATCGAATTGCATTTGCATCTCCTAAATTATTATAATTTAAATCAGCTACATTCATAATTCTTCCCCAAAAACATGGTATTTTTTTAATTAATTCAACTGTTCTTTTTCTTAATGGTTCTGAATTTGCTCTTAATTTCCTTTCTATATTATATATCTTTTCAAACCCATGTAATCGTTGTTTTCTAAATTCTGTTTGAATCGTTTGTAATGCATAAATATTCTTATGAACTTGTGATGATGTCATCATTAAATAATCATCAAATGTCTACTTATGTTACTTCTCATTATCTTCTTTATTTTTTTCTTTCTTTTAATTATTACAAACTTCTACATTAATTAATTCTTTACTCGGTTCTTGTCCAATTATTTCCATGTCTTTCTTTATTTTAACTTCTTTCTATTTGAAACTTATTTGAACCCTGAAGGGTTCTTTATTTTTTTTCTTTTTTTACTATTTTTATAGTTTTTTTATTATTTTATTCTAGTTTAAACTATATTTCTAACTATTACTAAACTATTATTTAAACTATCATCATTATAAAGTAAATTCTTCATTTTTTAAAATCATTGATAACTCTGATTATTTTAATTATTAGTGTTTTTAATGAAACGTAGGGAATTTGAATCTCTTGTCACTACACGTAGGAGTATGTCTTATGTACAAACACATTTTGAAATACTTTTTGATTGTTTTTTAAAAGATATGTTATTATCCATTGATAAAAATTATTTAGCAGATCCATTTAATTCATATGGAATGTATGATCCAAATGATAATTTTCAAAATAATGTCTTTTTATGTTTATCAAATAAAGTTACTGATAGTATTGATAATGTAGAACAATTTTGTGATTTTTTTTATGACCCTAATAAATTAGATAAAGCAATCATTGAACTTTATGGAAAAATTCATGCACAATATTTACTTACATATGATGGTTGTAAACATGCAAAAAAAGCATGGAAAGAAGGATTCTGGGGAAGTTGTAGAAATCAAAATTGCAAAGTTTGTTATTGAGTTTTTATTATATATATTTTCATTGAACATTGAAATCAATTTAAAAATAGGGATATCATTTATTACCTTATGGTAAATCATATATTGTTAATCAATATCCAATGAATCTTTATTGTGGTTGTTGTGGAAAATTATATTCAACAGATAGTGAAGGTGTATTAGATGGTGCATATTTTGGACCTTGGTTCATTCCTAATTTCTTTCTTGAATATCCTGAATTACTCCCACACTCATCTTATTTCTTAAAAACAATTCCTCAATGTATTTATGGTTATACAATTATTCAAGATCCTATATTTTGTGAATCTTTACAACATGAAAATCCTCCTTTACCTTCAAGAACATTTGTTCATAAAACAATGTTATAAAAATAATTTTAATTTAATATAAATAAATATTCCCTTTTTCTTTTTTTCTTTAATAAAAAAAAATTGAAAAGTTAATTTATTTAGCATTCTATTAATTAGTAATTAATCTTCTTTTAATCTTTATTAAGCAGAAAGTAATATGTTCATAACTTTTTCTGCTATTTCTTTGGCTTTTTCTAATGATTCTGCTTCAGCAATAACACGAATAATTGGTTCTGTATTACTTCTTCTTAAATGAACCCAAAAATCTTTTGTAGAAACATAAAGTCCATCTCTTTCATCAATTTCTTCTTGTTGATATATTTTTTTAACTAACTCAAATGCTTTATCAACATTAACTTTATTTGTATCAATTTTAGTTTTATAAATTTTAAATTGTGGTAATTGACTAACAATCTCTTTTAATGGTTTTTTTTCTTTAGTCATTAACATTAATGTTAATGTAGATGCTACCATTGCATCTCTTCCAATATGTACATCAGGTAACATAACTCCTCCATTCCCTTCTCCCCCAATTACTGCATTTAATTGTGTCATTCCAATACCAACTTGAATTTCACCAACAGGAGTGTTATAACATTTTGATCCAAATTTCTCACAAACTTTACTTGTTGCTCTTGAAGAGGAGAGGTTCTTACAGACATTTCCTTTCTTACCACAATATTTTAATATAAAATAAACAGCACAAACAAGTGTATATTCTTCTCCAATAGGATTTCCATCACCACCTATTAATACACAACGATCCACATCTGGATCTACTGCTATTCCTAAATCAGCTTGAGATTCTTTTACAACACGACATAAATCTGTTAAGTTTTCTGGAAGTGGTTCTGGAATATGTGGAAAATCTCCTGTTGGTTTAATGTTAAGAGGTATTATTTCACATCCAAGTCTTGTTAATAATTCAGTCATTATTGGTCCTCCAGCACCACAAACTGAGTCTACTGCAACTTTAAAATGTTGTTTTTTTATTGCTTCAACATCTATGTAAGGTAATGATAAAATTTTATTAAGATGTTCATCTATTGCTGTTGGAAGTGTTTGAGTTGTTCCACCTTCTTGTTGAATAAAAGTTCCTTCATCAGCTAATGTAAACACTTTAACACATTTCTTTGGTACAATAAATAATCCATCACTATCAACAAACTTTAATCCATTCCATGGTTTAGGATTATGACTTGATGTAATAATTACTCCTCCACATGCTTGGTGTTGTTGAACCATTACCTGTACAGTTGGTGTTGGGACAATCCCACAATTAAGTACTTTACATCCACACTCTTCTAATGCTTTAATAACTATTTTTTCTGCCCATGGACCACTCATACGTGAGTCTCTCCCAAGAATAAACAATGAATTCTTTGTATATTCTTTAATTTGAACTGTGACAAATGCTTTAACATATTTAATAATCACAGCCTCTGATAGAGATTTCTGTGCAATACCTCTAATCCCTGACAAAGTTACCATTAATGGGTCTGACATGATATATAATGAATAAACAAATTAAAATCTTGAAAAGATGAAATTAATTTATATCAAATCAGGAAAGTGATTAATTCTTTTCCACTTTTTTTATTTTTATTGTTTTTTGTTTTGTCTTTCATTTTTAGATAATTACTCCCATAATCCTATTTCGATTTATTTTCAACTCTTTTTATTGGTTAGTGAATAGTACATTTCTTTGAATAAACTCACACCACAGAATAACTTTTGGATAACGTTGTATAAAAAGTGGTTTAAGAAAGGGAACTATTGATGTATTTAACATAGTTATTTTAAATAATTTTTTAATTTTTATGGAAGTAGTTTGTTATAGTTGAGAAGGTGTTTCGTTAAGAGTCCACCAAGTTCTGTTCAACAAGAGTGTAAGAAACAAGATTATTTTTTATTTATGAAGATGACAACTTTTAAATTTGAATAAAATAAATTAATAAAAGTTATTTTAAATAAACAAGATGAGATATAAAAATAAATGAGTGTAAAGTTTAGTTGGTTCTGGTTCGTTTAAGTAGATAATTAATATATAATTATACATTTTACTTATTTACATAATAGTCATGTGGTACAATTTTATTGTCATAAAAAAACATTTATAAGAGAATGTATTTTCTTCTTTTCTTTAGAATTTTTCATAAGTGGAAATAATACCTGACCGGATTCATATTTCTTTTGGACTAATTTCTTCATCAATGTTTCTTTTTAATTCATCGATTTTGTTAGATTAATTTATAACTTGTTTTGATTGTCTAATTCTATTTTTTGTTCATTTTTTATTAGGTTCAAAAATTAGCATATAGAAAAACAATGATATAAATTTTGAATTAAAAACAAGTTAATTGTTATTATTTGATTATTTTAGATAATACTATTATAAAAGAAGAAGAGAAAAATCAACAAGAATAAAAAGGATTCTATTTGATTAGAGTGTTGAAAGATGAAAAAAAAAATACAAATAAAGAATAGCAAATTAATATATTCATATGTTTAAAATTTGTATTTAAAAATGATAGATAATTCATAAAAAAGCAATATTTTAATGAATAACATTGACATTATATATAGTATTAAAAAGTATTACATCAGTTGTAAAAGAGTATAACAAGTATTATTTATTATTTTATTTTAAAGTTAAAAAAAAAACAGAACAATTCTACAAAGAAAAACAATATATTTTTTTCAAAAATAGTGAGTATGAATGAACAGTTCCAAAATAAATTCAATTATTAAAGATTGTTCTTAAAGATTTGGTTGTACATAATTTTTGTTGTTTAATGGTTTCAAAAATAATGTTTAGGTTTATTTTATAGCTTTATTTTTTCAATACTTTTCGTACTCTGAGAGTATTGATGATTTACATCCATGGAAACAATTATTTCCTACTTTTATAACTGAAGAATGCATACTATGTGTGTTTAATGAAAAGCATTCACTAAAACAATATTGGCCTAACTCTTTAACGCTTGGATTTAAATTAATACTAGTTAATACTTTACATCCAGAAAAGCTTCTAAAACCCAATTTAGTAACAGAAGTTGGAAGTTCAATCTGTTTCAGTGATGAACACCCATTAAAGCATCCATCTGGTATTTCACTTATTAAAGTTGGTAAATTAATTGACTCCAATGAGTAACACCCAAAGAAACATTCAACACCTATTTTGTTAACTGTTTTTGCAAATTTCAAACTTATCAGTGATTTGCATGAGTTAAAACAATTATTATTTATTTCACTAACTGATGATGGAAAAGTAATTGATTCTAATGATGTGCATTCTTTAAAACAATTATCTCCTATTTTAGTGACTGTTATTGGTATAGTAATTGATGTTAATGATAAACATCCATAAAAACAACTACTATCTATTTCACTAACTGATGATGGAATAGTAATTGATTTTAATGACCGACATCCACTAAAGCAATCAGATTCTAATTTATTGATTTCTGAAAGTTGAATTGATGTTAATGAGGAACACCTACAGAAACAACCACACCCCATTTCACTTACTGATGATGGTATGTCAATTGATGTTAATTCATAAGCATTATAAAAAAATTTATTTCCAATTGAACTGGCACCTAATTGTAATTCTCTTCCATATTCAACTCGATCTGATTTTGTATATTCTATATGTTTACATATACTTCCTGTTTCTTTCTCTTTTGTATATCTTGAACAACTAATATCATACCATATTATTTCTTTAAATATTCTTCCATCATCAAATATTTCATCATATTTATTATAAATATGAAATGTTTCAATATTAGGAAAGAATCTTCTTGAATATTCATTTAATGGAATTGGATTAAAATGAAATCGTTCCATATTTCCTTGAAATCTTTTAACACCCATTTCTAAATTAATAAAATCTTTAATATCATTAAAATACTTTGATGTTATCATTATTGAATTATATCATATTCTTCTTTTTCCAATTATTCTTTTATTGATTTTATTATTGTATATTATTCTTTTGATATTTATTATCATTTCTCTTTCTGATGAATATTCTAAATATTCTTCTTCTTTTTCTATCATTTCTATTATTGTTTTAATATATGTTTCTTCGTTGATTTCTTTATATTCATATCTTTTTGTGTTTATTTTGATTTCTTTTTCTTGTTTTATTTTGTTGTTTATTATTATTCCTTTCTCTTCTTTTTCTTCTGTTATTATTCTATTGATTTCTTTATTTTCTTCTATTATATTGTTTGTTCTTATATTATTTATTATTCTTATTCTTATCTTATCTCTTTCTTTTTTAATATTTCCATATGTTATTTCTGTATTTTCTATGATAAGAATTGGTGTTTCTATGTTATATTCTTCTGAATGTATTCTTTCAATTATATGATATTTCCGTATGATTTGTACATTATTTAATCTTCCTAGTTTTGTTGAATTTTCGATTCTTCTTTCATTTCCTTGACTTGTTCCATTAGGAATACAAATGATTGTTCTTTCATTTTCTCCTTTCTTTTCTACTTCTTTCTTAATATTATTAAATATCATTGATAATTTACTTTCTGGTTTAATCATCATTTCTACTCCTTTAATATTTTCTTTTCTAATTTTCACATTCGTCTTATCATTGGAAATGATTTCTTCAATTATTTTCTTTTCTTCTTCTTTTAAATATTTCATTCTATCAATTCTTTCATATTCATTTCCATCATACAAATACACATTCATTTTATCATATTCAATATCAATTATCATTGTTATTGTTTTACACTTCATCTTTTATTTATTTTTAAGTTCGATTTTTAACATAACTTAAATTTTAATTCAAAAACATTCTATTTTTATTATATTTTTTTATTATTCAATTCCATTAGATAAACTATCAACTATAATATGCATGGTATCAATACTGTATCAACAACACTATTTTATTAATTGTAGTCACTGTTCTTTTCATTTTTGTTATTGTTTTTATTAAATAAATTAAAAGGATTTAGTTTATCATTTTGCTGTATTTCAGCACTCTCGTTGATCACTCCGTCAGACAGAAAGTAAAGTGTTTCAATGTAAAATATAACTAGTTTAAATTCGTCACCACTTTGTATGATATAATTTTTATTATTATTTATTATTAGTAATTAATTAATAAAATTTTTTAAAATAAGTTTGTTACTTTTTTATAATATCTGTAATCACGTAACTCTATCTAATAATTAATTTTTCAAGTTTTTTTTCTTCACGTAATAGTACTACTTTAATTTAAATATAGATCATAATATTTAATTATTGGTTATAAATTTGTCTTCACAATGAAAAGTATAATTTTTAGATAGGGATTTCGTTTATAGATTATTCTTTTTTAGATTAATAATGTTTACTTATAAATATATGTTTATTTCTAATTATTAATTTCATTTTATTGTTTCTTTTTCTTTCTATTCATTTGTTCTATTTATCAATTTATTTTATTATTCTTTATATTATTGTTCTATTTTATTATTATTCATTTGTATTTCTATTCATTTTATATTTCTTTTGATATTTCATTGTTTATCTCTTTTTATGTTTTCTTATTATTCTTTATCATTATTAACATATTTATTAAATTCATAATAACATCTATGATTTAAATAGTATAACAAAATGACTTATATTCTATTATTGAATATACAATAACAATAATAAATACATTAAAACATAAAATAACATATCATACATTTTATTTATGAAAAATAAAGATAGTGTAATATCAAACATCATTTTTTATTTTAAATAATTAAATTAATATTGAAAGTATATGTTTTTTAAATAAAATATCAGTACATTGTAATTATATTTTAAATAATTAAATTAAATAGTTCTAATTCATTATTTTTATTTCTTTTTACATACTTATTTCATCCATTTCGATTTGTTTTCATTTCTTTAATTACTTCAGAAATATCTTCATTATTCTTTATATTTCTACTTGTTTTGTGATTTGTATACTATATTACAAGTCATATATTATATTTAATATTTTCATACTATGTTAATAACTGTTTGAAAAAGTATTAATAACACAAAGACTTCTGTATGTGTATATAAAATAGATATATTAATAAAAATAATAACACGACACAATGGGTACTTCTTTAATATTTATTTCGTTATATTATTTTACTATTAACCAAAACATAATAATTTAATTTATCAAATGAAAAAAAAAATATACTAGAAATAGAAAGAATTAATGAATCAGAATTACTGAAATCTTATAAATAAATTGAAAACGTACGAATGAATATAAGGTATTTATTTTATAAAAGAATTAACGATAATTGTAAAGAAATTAGTAAATGATTGGAACAATAAATCAATAAAAATGGAATAAGTCAATAAATGAAAGTATATCTATTAGAGTAAATAATAAATATTAAAGAAATGGATAAAAAACAGAATACTGATAATAATCATGTTATCAGTTATAAAATGTTTAAAATATATAATAATAAGAATAAAAGAAATAAATATTGTTAATCTTTATTATTTTAATTTAATATAAATTATTGTAATCTCTTCCATTTCTATATTTTATTCTTATTTCTTTTTATTATTTATTAAAATAACCCAATGAATATGAATATTTGAAATAAAAACAAGAATGAAATATGATCATTTTTATATTCATCATTTTATTTATTGATAGATGAAAGGAGTTAAATATTTTATTCTCTTTTTCAAATAATCAGTATTTAATATTTTCATTTTAATTACTATAATTTGTTTTGATGTGAAATGTTTTAGAATTGTTTTCAATAAAGTGAATTTGATATTCAATTTATATGAAAATGAGTATTGTTTTATAATATGAAATTTTGATTATTTTCTTTATAAACAAGTACATCATACTATATCTGAATACAAATAAACAATCATCTGATTGATTATATAAATAAAATACATGTCTTAAATCTTTAATATCAATTTTCATCATTCATTTTATTCTTCATTTTGTTTCTAATGAAAATAAAAATGATTTTGCTTCCCATATAAAAACACTAACTTTATCAATTTTAGAATTAATCATCTAAATTTATTTCAATTTTTATTTTTAATAATATTTATTATATATTCTTTATTCATTTATCAAATACTGATATATTCTTATTCCAACTATCTTTATTCGATTCAAATAATATATTCAATATTTTTCTTCTTTCTTTCTTTTTTTTTTCTTCTCTAGATAATCATTATATCATGTAATTCATTCTTCTTTATTCTTATTATACTTTGTGTTATTTTCATTGATTTCTTCTTCTAATTTCTTAATTTTATTTTCTATATTCATTTCTTCAATTGAAGTCATTTTATCTATTAGTTCATTCGTCTCTTTATTAAACAAATCTTCATCATCATATTCTTTTATTATCTTTCCCATTTTATTCTTCATTATTTCTATTTTATTTATTGTTTCTTGACTTTTTCTATCATCAACTTCTTCTCTCTATTTCATCCATTCTATCAACCCTTCTCCTTTTTTATTAACTTCTGAACATGTTTCAAAAATATAATGAATAAATTAAATTAATAAATGTTTCTTGTTCATTATGAATTAAATTATTTTTGTTTAATTGATATGTGTTAAAGTCATTTTGTGTTCTGGTTGTTTTTATTTAAAATTTAATAAAAGATATAATTTTCTGAAAGTAAATCAAAATAATAAAAGAAGTAAAAAAAACATGTTCAATTAAACATGTAATACGCATCTACCAACTTTGTAACACAATTCTTTTGGTGTTAAATCTTTATTCTTTTCTTGGAATGCAACTGTACTTAATTTTAATGATGTTCTTAAACACAATGCAGGATTGCTAGAACTTTCACATTTGTTATACATCTTTTTCATTACTTCTTTAGGAGACATACGATCTCTTCTAACTTTTTGTAATAAGAATGCAGCAAGATTTCTACAAATTGTACATTTAACTTTAATTCCTTCAAGTCCATTTGGTGTTTTCTTTTCACATTCTTTAGCAATTGCTACCATTTTATTTAATCTCTTTTTGAGTCTTAACTTATACATTTTTTCATCTCTTAAAACTTCATTCATACGTTCATCAAGTAAATCAATTTGAGTATAGAAATATTCTGTTCCTTTATTCTTCTTAATTTCTTTCTTCTTTGTTAATAATTCATTTCTTCTTTTAAGTAATTCTGCATGTTGTTTTTGGAAATTATGTATTCTGAATTTAGATAATCTTTTGACTCTTTCAACATGTTTTAATAATGTGTTTTGAAGTTTCTTATGTTCATGCATAACCTTTTTTAATTTATTCTTAATTAATTCTCTAACATTCTTTAATTGTTCCATTTTATCTTCTGCTCTTTCTGAAATAATGTCTCCTGTTTCATGAACAGATTTATATAATTTTTCAATTAATCTTTTATTATTTACTAATTTACTTCTTAACTTTCTAACTCGTTTAGAACTCTTTTTCATTGCTTTAATTAATTCTCTTGATTTACGTGCAGCTTGTACAGTCTTTTCATCAATAGATCTAATAAAAATAACTTTATTTAATTGTTCTAATCCACTTCTAACTTTATTCTCTTCATTGTTAAGAACTACTAATTCTTGTTTTAATTGTTTCATTCGAAGTGTGTTCTTCTTAAGTTCTTCAATTGATGCACTTTTAGATGATTGTAAAATTCTATTTAATTCATCTGCAATTTCTTCTTTACGACTTCTTAATCTACTTAAATGACTTTTAGCTTCAATAACCTTTATCTTAATATCTTCATTTCTTTTTCTAGTTGCTTCACTAACTTTACTTTCAATATCTGCAACTTTCTTTTCTCTTAAATTGATTTGTTGACTTAATTCTTCCACTCGATGTTGTAATTCATCAACAACTTCTGCATATTCATTATGATTCTTTAAAACAACAATTCTCTTTGTTGCTCTTTCTTTGCTTTTTATTAATACTCTAACCATTTTTCTTTCACTTCTTAATTCATTTTTCAATTCTTCAAAAATTTTATTTTCAATCTTTTCAACACCACGAATGGCTATTGATGCACGTGCATGTGCAGTTGCTAATCTACGAACAACATCATGAAGATCCTCAATTAATCCTGATTTTTCTAATTTATTACTTGTTTGACTAATTTTTTCTCTTAAAATACTTGCTTCATTTGATAAATCATCCTCTCTACTTTTTAACTCTTTAGCAACAACCTTCAAATGTCTATATTGTTTCTCTCTTTCTTCTTTTATTCTTTTTTGTTCATCAATTAATCGTTGATTTGCTTTTTGAACTTTTTTATTAATTTCTGGTACTTTTTTTCTTAATAACTTAGCTTTTTCTGAAAATATTCTACTTTGTTCTGAAGTATATTTCTTATTAGTCATAGCACGTTCAAGTCTTTCAATTCTTCTTTCCATTCTTCTTTTTTCTCTAATAGCATCTTTTTTAGCTTTCTTAAATGCAGCTACCTTAATTTTTTGATATTCTTTTTGAATTCTTTTCAAATCTTCATCATAATCTTTTCTTGCTTTTATTTGTGCTTTACTCAAAAATGATAAACGTCGTTGTACTTTTCTCATTTCATTATCATTACTATTATATTCTCCTCTTAATTCACTTAATTTTGATGCAGCAATATCCTTTAAAACTTCAACTGTTTGTTTTTTTAAATATCCAGTTTGTTCATTAATTTGAACTCTTAATTTTGTAATTTTATTATTTAATCTATTAACTTGTTTTCTATATTCTTTTTCTTGTGCATTTAATCTATCTCTACGAGTTTCATATGCAATTCTTACTATTTTAGATTTATTATAAACTCCAACACGAGCTGCTAACATTATTCTTAAGTTCTTTATTTGTTTAATAGTAGCAACTTGAACTTTTTTGAGTTGATTAATAGTTTCAGTTAATTCTATCTTTTTACTAGGTGTAGTAAATTCACTTTCTAATAATGGTAGTGTTTCATTAATTGATTTTCTTACTTCTTCTAACTTAGCAATATAAACTTTTCTTGTTTCTAACTTTTTCTTCATCCATGAAACTACCCTTTGTAAATTCTTTACTTTTAATTCTGTAAGTTCTTCAATATGTGCTACTCTTTTAGTAAGAAGAGAACTTTGTTGTTCTTTATCTTTAATATCTCTTAATAATACTTTCTTATGTCTATATAATCTACGTAATTGAACAATTAATCTTTTTTGTTCATTTTCTGATTTTATTTTTTGTTTCTTAGCATTTTGAATAGTTTGTCTTAAATCTTTATCTAATTGTTCTTTTAATTTAATATCTTTTTCTTCTCCATTCTTTTTTAATTGTTCTTCAAAAACTGAAAGTGATGTTTGTTGTTTATTAATAGCTTCTTGAGATACTTCAATTTCTTTAATTTTTTCTTTAATTTGACTTTCTATATCCATTAATTGTTGTTTCATTACAGTAACATCTTTGCTTATTTTATTAACTTCCCCTTGTAACTTTCCTTTTTTATGTTCTACTTCTTTTTGTGTAGAGTTAATAATTCTTTCATATCCTTTAATAACACTTTCTACAACAGTAGCAAATCGTTGGTCTTGAATAGAAGTAGTATTAGATTTAGTTGAATTTTCTATTTTAGTAATATTACTTTGAGTGTTATTATTTTGAGTAGAATTGACTTGAGTCATGTTATTGTTGAGTTTTTTTTCCTTTATTAATAAGTCCTGTGATTTTTTTTTTAATGTATCCCATAATGAATCTTCAAAATCGTCCATTTCCTATATTATAAATCTTATTTTCTTACTTTATTTTAATTTTTTCATTATAAAATAACTTTTTTTTTGAATAAAAACAAACAAAATCTTCTTCAAGTGAATAGGCAGTGGTATATACACAAAGTATACAGAAAATGAGATATAATCCTCTCATGTTTTTGATATTATGAAAAATTTAGTTATGAGTTCATTCTTTATTTTTTAGTCTTTTTTAAAAATCAACAATTTTCTTATCACAAAAATTGTAATTTTTTTATTTATTTATTTTTTATTTTCATCTTTTTTTTTTTATTTATTTTCAAGTTCTTCTATTTCTTTCTATAATAATCATTTCATCTTTAAAGTTATATTTAGTATTTTTTAGTTCTATTTTAAGAAATTTTATAAATATAACAAAAAATGAAAAACACAAAATTTTAGATTAACCTTAAATTCTAGTGATGAGTAAATTCCAATTTGACACACTTCCTTGCCGTATTGGAACTGACTCATACAAATACTCTGTTCGTCCATACCCTATTAACGAAAATGTTCCATTACATCCTCATTGGGTTGCTGATATGGATTATCCATCATGTCCAGTTATTATTGATGCTATAACAAAAGTAGCTGAGAAAGGGATATATGGTTATGCTAACACCCCAAAAGATCTTTATAAAATTATTTCACATTATTTAAGCAAACAAGGATGGGAATTAAGTGAAGAACATTTAAAAGAAGTAATGATATTATCACCAGGAGTAGTTACAGGGATATGTGTTATTTTGACTGCATTAACAAATGTAGGAGATTCTATAATGTTTCAAACTCCATCTTATCCACATTTCTTTGAATCAGTTGAAGGTATTGATAGGAAAGTAGTTAACAATCGTTTAATTCAAAAAAATGGGGTTTGGAGAATTGATTTTGAAGACTTTGAACAACAAATTATTTCTGAAAATGTTAAAGTATTTTTATTATGTTCTCCACAAAACCCAACAGGAAGAGTCTTTGATAAAGAAGAATTAGAACAAATGGTCAATATTTGTAAAAAACATAATGTAATTATTATCAGTGATGAAATTCATTGTGATTTATTATTAACAAAACAACACATACACACTGGTTCATTACCAAATGCAAAAGATATAACTATTACTATGTTAGCTCCAAGTAAAACATATAACATTCCAGGATTATCACAAGCCTTTATGGTTTGTGAGAATGATGAAATGAGGTCAAAGATTTTCCATGTAGCAAGTGGATTATCTATTTGTTGGGGAAGTTTATTTGGACATATTGGAATGAAAACTGCTTATAGTGGTGAATGTTCTGAATGGTTAAAAGAATGTATTGAATATATAAAAGGAAATGTAAAACTCATCACAGAATTTATTCAAAACCAACTCCCATCAATTCAAATTACTCAACCAGAAGCAACATATTTATTATGGATGGATTTCTCTAAATATGGAATTAGTTCAGATAAAATTGATGATCTTCTTGGTCAACGAGGAATTATCTTTAATCAGGGTAAAGCATTTGGAAAAGGATTTGATTTGTTTAGAAGATTTAATATTGCCACTTCTAAAAAAGAAATTCAAAGTGTATTAGATTTATTATACGATGCATTTAAACCTTATGAAAAATAATCTAAACCCATCTTTTATTATCTTCTTTTTTTTTATCTTTTGTAAAATTTTCTTCATACTTTCAGAAAACATAATTACATACTTTTCTTATACTAAACAATTAATCATTAATAAAATAAGGAATAAAACTGAAAAAAGAAGCAATAGTATTTTGATTGAGATAAACATTGTTAAGAACAATGAGTATGTCATAAGATATGTTAAAAAGTACTTAGAATAAAATTATTGTTGTTCAATACTGGAGTAAAAATAAAGTTTAATATAATATTTCTCAAGATATAATAGAATTAATCCATGGCTAAATTTTGTTTTTGTTAGTTATTGTTTGAGATAAAGACAAATTCTATCAATTAGTATGGTCTATGAGAAATTAATGATGAGTCTATTTTGTTATCATCAACTATCAAACATAAATTATTAAATTCTTTTTTTATAATTGAATGAGTCATATCTCTTATTTTTTTTTTCTTGTCTATCTTTTTTAAAATACTCATTTCGTTAATTAATTTGTTGGAGAATATTTATAAAATATATTCTTCAAAAAGAAAGAGGTTTTGAAGCATCTAACAGAACAACTCTAGAAAGCGAAAAAAAATAAGGATAGTAAAGAAAGAATTTATGTATCTAAAAAACTTCTAAGATGGTATGAAAAACAAATTTATTTTCCGTGCAAATAGAATTAAAGGAATGCTCTGGAAATTGCTTCTTAAAGGTCGATTGAAAAAATTATAAGGAAAAATCGTGGATAAGTTGGGTGAAAATTCTTTTGTTTCTTTATAATTTTTAAAAAGTATTCGAACTAAAAACTCTCAAAATACAAAATAAAAGAACAATGCAAATTCAATTATTCATTCAAAGAAATACATCATTTGGCCATGCCATTCAAGTTTCTATTAATAAAGAATTAATTCCAATGGAATATAAAGATGGGTATTGGACAATAGAAACTACTTCAATAGAGAATGGATATTATTATTACGTTGAAACATCATCATCAGAAATTATTAGAACAGAAACATTTCCACATTTATTTCCTTCGTTTAGTAATAATCAAATTAAAGTTGAAATGAGAGATCAATGGAATGATTCATTCGAACCATATTCTCCTCAGTTTTTCCAAGAAATAGTCTATTCTAGAAAACAAGAAGAAAGACCTTCACCTTTATCACAAGCTGTTGTTATCCTTAGATGTAAATGGCAAAGTGTACCTTCTGGATATAGTATATATGTTACTGGTTCAAATTCAGAATTTGGTAAATGGGATACATATAAAGCACTTCAAATGAAGGCTGTTGGTATGTCTTGGTGGGAACTAGCTATTCCAATAGAAAATATTAGAGAGGCATTTGAGTATAAATACTTTATGAAAAAAACAGAAGTTGTATGGGAAGATGGACCAAATAGATTATTTGCACCAATGTTAGGGTCTTTTATTGGATGTAAACGAGCTGTTATTTATCAAGAAGATATTGTTAAATTTATTGGAAGTTATAAAGCAGCAGGAATAAAAGTTTGTATTAGTGGAATAAATGGAAAAGGAATTGGGTGTGGAGATATTAATGACTTATATGATATTATTAAATTTTGTGAAAAAAGTGGATTAAGTATTATAGAAATTCTTCCAGTTAATGATTATAGTGATGTTTACTATACTCCAAGTTCTCTTAATGCATTAGACCCAATGATATTATCATTAAAAGATTTTAAAATAACAAAAGAAATACAAGAAGTTATAGAAGGAGCAAAAAGAGAATTAAATTATGAGAAATGGATAGATAGGAAACGAGTATTATATTGGAAGAATAAAATCTTTCATTTAATTTTTAATTTAGAAAAAGAACAATATAAAACAGTTACATCAGTGTTATTTGAAAAACAAAAAGGAGAAAATGACCTTGAAATTTTTGTTGAAAAGAATAGAAAATGGTTATTGCCTTATATTGTATATAAATGTTGTGGAATGAATGGTGTACCAACAATGGAAAATTTAAAAAAGTTATTATTAAATAATACTGAAGAGTGTGTATTTAATATTTTTATTCAATTTAATTTATTTAAACAAATGAAAGAAATTTATAAATATGCTAAAGAAAAACATATTGGATTAATTGGTACACTTCCATTTAGTGTTAGTCATGACTCTGTTGATGCATGGATTAATTCTAATTACTTTTATGTTAATAAAGAAATAGTTGATATTATGAATCGTAAAAAATATTATGGAATACCATATAATTGGAATGAATTAGAAAATAATGAATATTCATTATTTAAAGAACGTATTGAATTAATGAAAACATTATTCCCTATAATTAAATTTGACTCAATTTCTTTCTTCTTTAGAACATGGGAAGTTGAAGAAAATGGAACATATGGATGTTATTGTCCACAAAATGGATACACAAAACAAGACTTAAATTATAGAGGAATTAATGATTTAGATAGATTAACATATTGTTATATTAGAGATCATACATTAACATCATTATTCGGAGAAGATAAAGATTATGTTATTGATAATTTCCTTGTTGATAATAAAGATGGATCATATAATTTATCTGCATCATTTAGAAATGAAAGTCAAATAAGAAATGAATCAGGACTTAAAGAAAAGAGAGCATCAGATAGAAAAATTATTGAAGGATTAATAAAATTATTAAACAACGTAATATTGTATCAAGTTGGAGATAAATATATTCCATCTCCTTACATAAAAGATACTTATAGTTCTTATGATGAATTAGAACCATCTATTCAAGAAAATATAAATAAATTATTTGAAGAATTTTATGAAAGAAGAAATTATCAATTATGGAAACAACAAGGAAAAAGGGTATTATCTTCTTTTTGTGATTCTCAAACTATTTACATTGGACAATGTGAACGTGCATTTTATGAGGAATTAAATAATCTGAAAATTATTACTAATGATTTCTTAAGTATTAACTCTTTAATTGAATCATCTGAAACTCAGACATTAAGAGCATATTGGGAATATAATAGAAATCAACTTTGGAACCAATTAAGAAAAGGTGGAAATCCACCTCAATTTTGTACTACACAAATTATGAATGAATTAATTACAATGAAAATGAATTTACCATCTATGTTTGTTATATTTAATATACAAGATATAATTGGGCTGAGAGACTATTATATTGTGAATAAAAATCCTCATTTAGAATCATGGGTAATTGATGATAAATTAAAGTATAAATTAAGTGTTACAACTGATGAACTAAATGGAGACTATGATCTTCAAAATACGATTTCACATTTAATAACAATAACTGGAAGAAATATGAATTAATTCATCTAAACTACTTTTTCATTTTACAAACCTTTTATTTTTTTTTTCTGTTTATTTTTTAACAAGTTTTTTCTTTTTCCATTGTGGAAGTTTTCAAAATGACAGAAAAGTTGTATTTGAAGGAGTTTTCTTTCAATAATTAATCACATTTAAAACTCGAAAAAAGAAGTTACAAATAGTACTAAAATTTAATGTTGGTCATAGTACTCTTATGTATTATTTGTTCTACTCAAGCACAATCTTGTGAAAAAAGAAAGCCTATTCTAATACTAAGTGGAATTTTAGCTTCACAATTAATGATTGATGCTGATATAGATACATCTATAGCATTACCTCCTCAATGTCCTCATAAAGTTAAAGGCCAAATTTGGATTAACAGAAAAGACCTTATTCCTTTTAACAATTCTGCATGTTTTGTTGAGTATATGAAAACGTATTGGAATTCTTCTACTAGAAAAATGGAAAACATTCCAGGGGCTAATATATATTATCCAGACTTTCCATCTACAAAAGGAATTTTCGCTTTAGCACCAGATAACCAAAAACTTCTTCAATCAAAAACTAAAGTATTTGCTGCAATGATTCGTGATTTAAAAGCTGCAGGTTGGAAAGATGGCATTGATTTAGTTTCTCCTGGTTATGATTGGAGATATGCAGACAGAAGTAATAATAATTGGACTGAAAAAACAACTCAATTAATTCAACAATTAGTGCACGATAATGGTCATAAAGTTGTTATTGTTACTCACAGTTTTGGTGGAATTGCTGTTTTAGATTTAATTAGTTCTATGTCAAAAGAATTTTGTGATCAATATATTGATAAAATTATCACTCTAAATGCTCCTTTCATTGGTTCAACAAAAACTTTACGAACATTTTTAACAGGAGAAGATTTAGGATTAAAGCTTGATCCATTACTATTAAGACCATTAGCACGTTCATGGGAGTCTGACTACCAATTAATGCCTAACCAAAGATATTGGAAAAATGATAATATTGTCCAAGTTGGAAATAAAAAATATTCTGCCAACAATATCAATGCTATCATTGACCTTGTTGAGGAAGTAAAAGAATTTGGTAATATTATTTATAACTCTAGCATTAATAGACATCCATTGGAATATGTTCCAAATAATGTTACATTACATTGTTTATATTCTCATGGCATTGAAACAATAGTTGGAATTAAATATGATTCTTTAGACCATGACTTCCAAGATGTTAGTTACGTTTATGGCGATGGAGATGGAGTTGTGGATCTCCAATCTTTGGAATGGTGTAAACTTCCTGGATTTGCTAAAGTTGTAAAAGACTTAGGAAAAGGAGAACATGGAACAGTAATTTCAAACACAGAAGTTTTTGGTTATATTAAGAATGAAGCATGTGCCAGAGATTCAAATACAAAAATGTGAAGAAAGAGATTAGCTGTGAATGATTTTTTAAGAGAAAAGTTTTTATAATAATTAATTTAATCTTCTTATCAAAAGAAATAAAAAAAAAACAAACTAAAATTGAAAATGCTTTGTCCATTATTTCAAAATGTTCAAACAGAAGGAGAAATTACTATTGGAATAGATGAAGCAGGAAGAGGACCTGTTTTAGGACCAATGGTGTATAGTGCCTTTTTTACTACTAATACAGAAATTATAAGTACTATGGGGTTTCATGATTCTAAAATTTTATCACGAACAATGAGAGAGAAATTATTTAGTGATATCAAAGAAAGTGCGGTATGTGGGTTTTCAACACGAATTCTTACTCCAAGTTATATCAGTCATCTGATGTGTGGTCCTCAAAAGGTTTCATTAAATGAAATAGCATTTGGTGCAGTTAGGGATATTATCCATCAAATCATCAGAATAAGTCAACGTAAAATTGTACACATTTATTGTGACACTGTTGGACCCTCTGGAAAATATCAGATGATGATTGCAAATGAATTTAAAGACATTAAGTTGAATCAAATTACTGTTTGTCCTAAAGCTGATGGATTATATCCAGTTGTTAGTGCAGCAAGTATTTGTGCTAAAGTAACAAGAGACACTTGTCTTGATAATTGGATTTATGAAGAAAGGAATATTCAAACAAAACAAGTTGGATGTGGATATCCAAGTGGTTTGTTATTTTTTTAGATGTTTAATAAAATATTTAATAATAAGTAATTGAATGATAGATATAGATACAATAAAATGGATGAAATGTCAATATGATCCATTGTTTGGATATCCTAATTTAGTTAGATTTGGATGGGAAACATCTAAAAGAATTATTGAAGAAAAAGTACCAATGAAAAGACCATTTCCTTATCAAAATAAACAAGATGTTGTTGGAGTAATTCAAAGTAAATTATTTGCAAATAAAGGAATAACTGAATTAACTGAGTGGTAAGTAAAATTAATTTTGTGGTTAAACAGATTTTATTAATATGAATTAATTCATCATTAATAATAGTCAGGATCTTTTGGTACAATATCTTTATCTCTACCAAAATGACGAGCCATTCTTCTCAAATAAAATGGTTGATCTATCAACTTTCCAAGATCACAAAATAACATATCACCACAATATGTCCAAGGATTAAATTTAATAAAAGTTAAATAACGTTTTAATTCATGATTTGACATTAACGTTCCCCACCATCCCCAAATACATGCAACATTAGGATCATAATATCCATCATTTGTTGCTCTTAGTGGTGTAGCATATTTAGTAAGTGTTCTTGGACCATAAGAATCAAAAACTTGTTTAAGAAAGACAAATGAATTTCTATGAATTGATTGATCATCTTCAAAAAACATAATATAATCAGTGTTATTAAATTCTTTAAGAGCAAGTTGTGCACCTTGATGGAAGTAATATGTTACAATATTATCTTTTTTATGATGACCAAAGTTACGATATGCACGTTGATCTTCAGACCACAAACTATGATACATTTCTTCAAAAGAATAAATGTTTGATGATTGAATCCATTTAAATGGTTCAAATTGTTCAATCGAAGAATTTATTCCATGTTTTTGAAGTTCAAAATTAGCTATTTCCATTTCTGGGTGAGAACAATGATTACATCCTTTAATAAAGTAAAAATGATCTATCACTATTTCTGGTGGTTTTCTTTCATATGCATTTAATAAATACTCAACAGAATAATTCATCATTGGAACTTCCTTTGGTGCTCCTAACATAATCATACACATATGATATTGTTTTGCATTTGAGATTACAATAAAAAGGAGTAGGAAACAAAACATCAATATATAATAATAATAATTTAAGATGTTTTTTTATTAGACTATAAAATGAAATGATGAGATGATACTATCTTATTATATCTTAGATGATTTTTTTTTATTATTTATATTAATGTTACATTCAACTGATATAAATTATCTTAAATAATCATATTCTATTTTATTATTTCTATTCTAAAATTAAAAATTGAATGATTTATTATTAATCAGTTGAAAACTTAAAAGAAAGAAGATGAATTAAGAAAGAGAAGTTGTTCACTTTCTTTGTCATCATAACTTTACGATATATGATCATAACAAACAAAATAATAGAATGAGCAACCAAAATATGGTTGATTTAAACTCAAGACATCCTCCTCCATCATTGAACTTTGCATATCTTCTTCAAGTTCAACAACAATCTACTTGTAGAATAAAAACACAACAACTCCAACCTAACAAAACCACTTCATCACTTCAATTAAACCAATCAACAAAAACAATGAGAAGACCATTACCTCCTCTACCAATACAAGAAACAAAGACAAGAAGTACAGAAACACTTTCTTCTGAAACTAATAACTTAGCTTCTATTCAACTGATAAAACATACAAAATCTTACAATCAGAAATCAGTAGAAACACAAGAAGAGACATTAAAACAAATTGAAACACTTTATGAAGAAAAGAAAAGATTAGAAGCAGAAAATGAACAATTAAAAAAAGAACAAGAACAATTAAAAGATGTTAAAGAAAAGAAGATAAAAGAAAAAAGAACCGAGAAAAAGAAAGATATGAAGATAAAGGAAAGTCCTATTATCTCAACAACATATTCTAAAGTAGTTGAAAGTTATCATAAGGATCTTCAGTGTCATCCAATTAATAGAAAAGTTAAATCAATATCATGTATTCCATTACAACCAAATAGAAACCAAAGAAGAAGTGAAGAAAAAGAAATTAAAAGAGATGATATTATTTTCTTTGATAAATTGAAAGAAGAACTTAAAGATTCTGCTGATAAGATAAATAAAATAGAATCTGTTATTAAAGAACAAGCAATTCATTGTATTGTACATAGATTACGTGCTGTTGAACAGATGTTAGTTTTATTAAAAACAAGAAGGTTGAGTGGTAATATTCTAAACGACTGCAAAGTTGTAATTGAAGATGGATGGCAGAATTATATTGTGATGAGTGAAGAATCAACTATGTATTTGGGAAGGGCAATGATGATTGTTTATGAAATGTGTATCAACAATAAAGAAATAATGGAAGAATACTTCAAACGTATTCAAGGAACAATTATCAGTGAAGAAGAAATTATGTTATGTGAAATGTGTGTAAACAATGAGGGATTGAAATATGTTAGAAACAATGGTATCAAAGAATATGAAGAATCAAAGAAGAAAATAAAAGAATTAGAAGAATTAAATCAAACATGTGGAGGTAATTGGGATATCAATTTAAAGAGGGGAGTTCTTGGATGGGGAAGAAAGATTATGAAAAAAGAAAAGATTAAAGGATATATTGGAGAATGGAAAGAGATGGAATTGATATTAACAAATGATTTAATGATAATTATATACCAAAAACAGATTGAGTACATAAGTCTTTATATTGATTGTAATATCATTGAATACGATATTGATAATGATGTGTATCAACTTGAAGATAAAGAACAAGGAATTTACTATATCAAAGACAATGAAATAAAAAACTTAAAAGAAGATATTAATTCCTATCTAAGAATAACAGATGATATTTATCAATTCCCAGCTACTCCAAATGATATTTTTTAATTAATTTTTATCATATAATTTCATTATAAATGAGTTTTTTTTAAACACATAAATATTATTATATTATTTTAATCAAAAATATGTAATCATATTCCTTTTTATCATTCCATTTAACTTATATTTTGTTATTTTTAATATTTTCCTCTTATTTATAATGACTAGTCATAATAAATACAGAAGTTGAAATAATTATATGGAACTTACTCACTAATTTATGCCATTCTTTCTAATTTCCAATATTTGTACTTGAAGAAATTAATTAAATAAAATTATTTCCACCCTACCAAGAAACCAACAAAAACACATCTTTCTCTTATTACTCTTTTGTTTTATTTTGTCATTATTTGTAAACATTTTAATAAAATCAGTATTTAAAACAAATGAATAAATAATAATTTAGAAATTTACATTCTTAATTGTCATAAACCATCAATTAAAACAAAATCAATCAATTTATTCTGATGAAGAACTCTTACTATCTTTACTTACTGATTCATTCTCATCATTTATAGGATGTGGTAATGGACTTACTGTTGGTGTATTTAAATTGAGTAATGGTGATTTAGCTTTGTTGCTCACTGTTCCATCAAGTGGCATTGGACTTGCAGATGGTGTGTTTAAATTAATCAACTCTTTTGGTTTTTTCAGTAGATTCTGATGATTTATCATCTTGTTTTTTCTTTTTCTCATCTTCAGCTTTTAATGTTTCAGCAATAGATGCTTCTCCTTTTGCTAATCGTTTAAGCTCTTCAGCACATCCTGATTGTTGGACCAAATTATTGAATATTGTTGTTTCTTGCTCAATTAAATTAATTGGAGTATCCATTTCCATTAAATGACCATCATCAAATACCATAACTCGATTAGAATCCATAATTGAATGTAATCTATGTGCAATTGTTAATGTCGTGCAGTTTTTAAAATTCTTTCTAACCATTTCTTGAATCATGATATCTGTTTGAATATCAATTGATGCTGTTGCTTCATCCATAATTAATATTTTAGCTCCTTTTAATAATGCTCTTGCCATACAAATCATTTGACGTTCTCCAAGTGAGAAGTTTTCTCCATTTTCTGTAACTATATAATCTAATTCTTTATTTACATTAACCAATTCCAATAATGTTTCATTTCTTCATCACTCTTTTGGAATGTAGGATCAAGATTTTCTCTAATTGTACCACTAAACATTGTTGCTTCTTGTGGTAAAATACACATTCTTGATCTTAATGTATGCATAGGAATTGTTGTTGTATCAATACCATCAACAAGAATTGATCCACCTGCAGGTTCTTCGATTCTAAATAATCCTGCCATCATTGTTGATTTTCCACTTCCTGTTCTTCCTACAATACCTATTTTTTCTTTGTCATTAATAATAGCATCTACTCCTTTTAAAACTAATGGTAATCCTTCACGATATCTAAACTGATATCCCTTTAATTCAATCTTTCCTTCTTTTGGCCAATCTTCAGGTATTTCTTGATACTTTCTTTTCTTCTCTTTTGTTTCTTCAACAGGAATATCTTTTAATACTAATACTCTTTCTACTGATTGCATGACAATATCCACTTCTAATATATTTTGTGAGAAATCTGTAATAAATCCTCCAAGAGTTGTAATATTCATCAATGCAACTCCTGCTACTCCTGATTCAATTCCTCCTTTAATTTTCAAAATAACAATAACCATAACTGTAATAATAGCAAGTCCAACACCTAACCAATCTAATCGTTGTGAATACCATGATTTAGCCATTTGAAGAGTATAATATGATAAAGTATTGTTTTTCATCTTCTTAATCACAGCATCTAAGAATGTTTCTTGTCCACCATATGTTCTAACTGTTGCTAATCCTAATAATGTTTGATCAAAATGAATAAATATTGGGGATCGTGTAACTCCTTCTAGTCTTTGCATTTCAATAGATGCTCTTACGAAGTATTTATGGAATAAAAAGAATGCAATTAACACAAGTACAACAACAATAATCAAATAATATGAACATGTACAAATTACAACAAAAATTGCTATAATATCACAACATTGTCCAAAAAATTGTTCATATTGTTGAGGTAATCTAAAATCAACAAATCTTAAATCTCTTGAAAAGTAATTTAATAATCTTCCTAATGGTGTAATATCAAAGAATGATAATAATGTACCAAATAAATTTCTTATCATCATTTTATGTAATCCATTTGCACATAATAATCCATATATTGATATTCCAATCATTGACATTAATGTAAAAATAATTTGTACTCCAAGTGAAATAGAACTTGCATAGAAATAATATGTATCTCCTTCTGGATGTTCTTCATCTATTTTATTTGTCCAAAATGTAATAAATAAATTGTAACATACTCTTGATGCACATCTAACAACAAATGGCATTAAACAAAGTATTAATCCAATAAATCCTCCTGCTCTAAAATAATGCCAATATGTACTCCATGCAACTCCTCCTACAGATCTCTTTTCTTCAACAACATCAGTAGCAACAACATCTTGTGGAACTGTTTCAGTGTCTTGTTTTTTATTATTATCTTTCTTTTTAGAACTTACAGTTTTAACAAATTGAGATGCTTCTAAGTTTGAATTTCTTAATTCTTCAATACTACCATTAAATGCAATTTTCTTATCTTCAATAACAATAATTCTATCTGCCTTATCAATAAAATATGTTTGATTTGTGACAATAATTCGTGTTTTATTTCCTAACAATCCTTCCATTGTATGTTCAAAAATAAATGACCCAACTTGAAAATCAACTGCTGATAATGGATCATCAAAAATAACAATATCTTTTGAGTTGTATAATGCTATTGCAATAGAAATACGTTGTCTTTGTCCACCAGATAAATTAGCTCCTCTTTCTGCAACTTCATACATATCACCTCCTCTTAATATTTGTAAATCTCTATTTAAACATGCACATGTACATGCATTATTATACTTTTCTCTATTAAATTTCTCTAAGAAACAGATATTTTCTCTTACTGTAGTATTCATTAACCATGGTGTTTGTGATGCATATGTAATATTTCCACTAATAATTGTTTCTCCTTTACTTTGTTCTAATTCTCCTAATATTGATAATAAAAATGATGACTTTCCACTTCCAACACTACCTAAAACACATACTAATTCTCCTTTCTTAATTTTTAATTCATCACAACTAAATGCTGTTTCTCCATTAGGGAAATTATAATTAACATTTTTCATATTAATTGCATATTCTGAATTTGGTGCTGATGTTCTATCTTGTGGTTGAAGTTCTGGTGTCAAGAAAAATTCTTGAAGTCTTCCAATAGCAACTTTAAATGTTGTTACACATGAAACAAAGTATCCAAAATTCATAAATGGTCTTCTAATTGCATTAAAATAAGCAATACAAGTAAAAACTTTCCCAACTTCTAAATGATAGTCAATTTGAATATAAACAAGATATAATATAAATGCCATGAATGGTGATAGTTCTAACATTAATGTAACTAACGATGATCGTGCTGACATTGTACCTCCCATACACCATAATTCCTTTGTTCTTAATTTCCTTAATCTTTTATGAAGTGGTTCTTCCCAAGCATTGTTTTTAATAAATTTAATACTTCTTAAAATCTCTCCTAAAAAGTTTAATCGTTTATCAGTAGCATTTTGTGTTTTACGGAAGAAAAATCCAATCATTTTACCTGATAACATATTAACACATACAAATAATAAACAAACTCCAATTGGAATAAAAGCCCAATATGTAATAATACAAAGAAGAATTATACATACTACTAAAAATAATATTGGTGCACATGACCCAGTAATAACTAATGGTAATTGTTCAACAAAAAGCATTGCATCATTTGACATTAAGTTAACTAACTTGCCTGTTTCTTCTATTGATGCTGAATTTAATTTTAATGACTTTTCATAAATCATAGAAATTAATCCATTTCTAAGTCTTAATGACAACACAAAAATCCATTTAATTGATAACTGAAAACAAAATGATGTTAGAATTTGCATAAATGCAATAACAATCAAATACACTACTCCTTTCCATGTTTCTGGTTCATCTTCAGCAACCCATTCTACCATAAATTGAATAATAGCAGGAATAACTAATGTTGAAAGTTGAGAAATTAAAATTGCAATAAAACAAATCAAGAAATGACCCCATTCCATTCTGAATAATGTTCTTAATAATGATGGACTTTTAGGATGCTTTTCTTTTTCTTTTTCCCAACATTTTGTAATTTTTTTATGAGTCATTTCAATATCAAGTGTATGTGGTAATTGACCAATTTCTTTAACATTCAAACTTCCTTTTCTAATGTATTTTAATGCCCTTTGTATAAAAGCAATTTGACAACAATTAGGATATTTCTTATGTAATGGTTCAATTTCTTCTTCTACATATCCTTCATTTACTTCAAATGCTTCCATCTCAATATGTCCTTTGCTTTTATTATCTTCTTCAGTACAGTTATTCTCAGTGTTATTAATATTACTACCACTTGTGAGTTATTCACTAGATAGAAATATGAAGTGTTATTGTCTTATTTTCTTTTTTAACTTCCTCTGATTGATTCACTTGTTTTCTTTTAATATTTCAGGTATTTTACGAAAAATTATAAGTACTACTAACAATAAAACAAATAACTAACTCTGCTCTTACTCACTATTTTCTTGTTTTTTTAGTCTTTCCTTTTTACTCTTCTTTACAAAATGAAGTAGTAATATTTGTCTTGGTTGAACAAAAAAAAACGTAGTCAAACCATTCTCATGAAATAGTACATTAGTTATTACCTTATTTGTTAGTATTTTTTTTATTCGTACACTCATTAGTTTTATAGATTGAATCAAATAATAGTGGTATTTTCTTATTAATATAAAACACTTCATTTGATGTTATGAAGAGAAAGGGTCAACTGTTAAATTGAACACCCTCCTATCTAATGTAATAAAAATGAGTTTAACCTTGTTCATACTTACTGATGGTATTTATTGAAAAGACTATGATGAGAGTTTATTTACACTCGTTTTATTTCTCTCTAATATACTAATGTTTTCATGTAACTCAATCAAATTTAAGTTCTCTTTTATTGACGAAAAAGAAGAAACTTTTTGTGATAGAGTTAGTGTGTTGTTGTGATTCATATAGTGCATCATTAAAACGTTTATGATTTATTGTTCCAAATAAAACAATTTCCTGTTATTTATTTTAATAAAATGCTTTTTAATGGTAAAAACCTTATTTGTTATTTTCTAAATACTTTATCAAAAAAGTTAACATATTCAAATTAATTAATAAATGAAGAAATGCATTTAACTTATTATAGAATTAAATATATTGGATGTTCTCATTTGAGAATTAATAACAGTAACCACTTTTAATTATTATCTTAATACATATATAATAAATCTACAAACATTGAATCTAAAAGATATTATTTTTAATCATTACAAAGTAGTTCATTATTGAACTTTCTTTATTATACTTTTGATTAACTCACATCTTTAAAAAAAATAACTAGTATTAACAACAATAATTCTATTTAAATATCATTAAATTATGTGTTTAAATTAAAAATACAATTTTTAATGAATTATTGTTTTATTAACGTTGTATATAATTTAATAGAATCAACTATCTCAATAAAACTATCAATTTATATTAATTATCATTCTTTTATAAATAATCAGTTTTTAAAAAGTACTTCTTTTTGAAATTAACTGAGAAAAAGGAATAAACTGATTAATTAAAAATGTTCTTACTGGTTAGTATTGAATAAGTTTTTACTTATTTTTATTCCTTAAAATGAATAATATATATTATGCATATTTAAACTGTTCATTATTACATATATTTGAAATTTATGAAATAATATGTTCAGTGTTATTATGTGAAAATATCATAAAGTAAACTGACTATCATTTAATACCAACAAATACAAAATAACAGTAATACAAAATTATAAAATTGATGTGTTTGATTGCCCACTAATTGTATAAAAATTTTTTAATGAAAATATGTGGAATAATAAATATTGTTTATTGAAATAATGCTTTAGATAATACTAATTCTTATTGTCTATTTGATAATAATTGTATCCAATAAATTATTCTGTTTAATAGAAGTATGTATCTAATTAAACCAAACTCACTGTTAAGATAAATTCAATAACAAATAGTAGTTAATAAATGAAATTGATTTGATTAAGTAAATTCTAATACTTTGTTTAGTATTAATTCAATAAGATGTTGGTTATAATACAACTCAATAAAGTAATTTTCATAAACTTGGTTCTGAATTGATAAATAATAAATTATAATGATAGTATTAATTGAATTAAATGAACCAAGAATTTTATTCGTATTTTTAATATTAGATGAAATGAAAACAAAAAAAGAGTAGTACTATTTCATATTATTTGATTTAATTATTTTTATCTTCTAATCAATAAAAAGTAAAATAAAAGAAGAAGAAAAACATTATTTAATAATGAAGGATGCATTTTTTTCTTTTTTATTCAATTTAGTGTAATTTTGTTTGTTTTAATATTTAGTTAATATCATTAAGAACCTTTTTATTAATTTTCTTTTAAAGTTCTATTTTGATGTTTTCATAAAACTAATCTTGATTTTTGTTTAAAATAAAATTAATAAAAAGATACTATTAATATTACTATAATTATCAAATCTACACAAATTTTAGTTTTGGTATTCATGTTAAGTTCTACTTGATTAAATGGAAAGGGTTATCTTGAAAATCATAAAAAAGAGGTTACATAATGACAGACCATACCACGTCATAAAACCTCTAACACACTTCTATAAAGTGAAAACCTAATCACTTTATCTTGTCATTATATTTTTCAATGCCATGTATATTGACTATCAATACCTTTGTTTTATTAATCCCTTTTAAGTTCTTAGTTTATGACTTCATTTTTTGTTAGTAACTTAAATGAACTAGTACTCTCTCAATGTAATTGTTGTTATGCCTTTGCTGTCTGATTTTCATTTGACACTAAACACTTTGATTTCTTAAAGTATTGTTTATGACTTGTTTAGTATTCTGCTATTTCTTTTAATAAGACTTGTTAAGATAAGAATAGAACTTCATCACATTTTTTCTCTTAAACAATAAGTTTAATAATACTAGTTATTAAAAAGGTTTTAGAGAAAAGATGAATTTAGTTTCACAAAGAAATATGCTTCTTTCCATGGGTTTTGTTTGTGTTGAAAACTAAGTACTTGTTATTTTGTATTTTAATTTCACCAAAACTCTTGAAATACCTGAAGTTTTTACTGTCTGAGTAATTTTAGTATTGTTGCTTTGATGTAGTGTACTTGGTTTTAGACGTTATACTATTTGGGAAATGACTTAATAATGGATGGTCTTTTAGGACTAAAAGTAGTATCTCAGAAAAGTCAACGATGTTGTTATTATGATAGTTAAAGAGTTGTAGTCTCAAAAAATACTCCTCTTGAACAGGGTTTTATAAAGTGATACAATGGTACTTGGTATTGTTATGTTAAAAAAATATACCTTATGTTTTTAGTACTTTTCTTTCGGTATAAGAAAAACTAACAAGTTTTTCATAGACTATTATTAAAACATATTTCAGAAACTAGTTGTTAAGATTGTATTTGATAGTGACTTGATTTATTTTAAGAATGAAGAGTTTGATCTCTTGGATGGTCCTTTTATAAAAGTCTGTTAGAGTCAACCAAGTAAGCACACTATTCTTTAAAGGATTTGTAACAAAACAAAGAATTCATCCTAAGATTTTATCTTTTCTCTTTGTAAGAAAAAGAATGAATCTTCCATGTTCTTCTAATGCTTCTTTTATAAAGATCTTTGGAAATCTCAAAAATAAAAAAGAGATTCATCTTTTACCACCAAAAATAAGAATATTATAGTTATAGTTTTTTTAAGATATATAAAATAGTTTAATTATTGGTTAGAAAACAAAATTTCAAGTTCCTAAAAATCACAGTATTAAGATGAGCAGAAATCAAGGCACACGAACACCTATTCAGCCACTGTCTTATTTACCCCAACTGCCAGTTCTTGTAAAAATAAGTTGTTCAACGGTTTGCATTAATTTTTTATAAATTTTATATTAATTTTTAAGAATTTCAAAAAAATAATTTATTTTTGGATTCTTCAAAATCAAGAAGAATAACGTTATAAATAACAAAATAGTTATGTCATTTAAATAAATGGGGAGAAGAAGATATTGAACGATTAAAGAAGGAGTTGAGTGCTATGCTTGATTCTGTTATATCAATGAAGGAGAGTCTCAGAATTCAATATGACTCATGTTTAAAAGATTATAAACCGCATCACCATGAGAACCATACAAGACAACGCCCACCTGTACAACAACAAAATATTGTTAGTGCACCAGAACCAATATTATGTATTTCTAATGAACCTGCAAGAGAGTATTGGGAGAATATTGTTTATCCATATATTAAATATCCAAGCAAAGAAGATGTTGTATTACTTGAACCAATGGAAGAAGAAGGAGAAGATATAAACAATTGTCCACTAGGAAGAAGAGATCAAGTGATTGAATATTCAGCTCGAGAGAAATTAATAGATGGTTTAGTTGAAACAGATACTGAACGTTTTAGAAAGGATATGGAAGAGGAGAGTGTTGTTAGAGGAAGACTTGAGAGTTGTGGAATTATTCTCCAAAAAGAAATGAATGGAATTAATATCCATACAAGAAGGGATGATGAAATTAGTTGTGAATTAAGAAGGCTTAATGCACAACTAATTGAGAAAAGAAGATTTATTAATGAATGTAGAAAAAAGATGAGAGAGTATTATAAAAGAGTCGAAGGGAA